CCGAACATTTCAATACATAGCATGATTAACTTTCAGCAAATAAATTAATTGACAAAAATATTTTTTGCAAAGTAGCACAATCAAAATAAATAACTATTTTATGCTTCACGTTATTCCATTTATCATTTTGCTTTTGAATCTTATTTTTCAAAAGTCTTAAAAAATCTTAAAACTGATTCACCAGCTGTGCCACTTTTAATTGTCTAACACATAATTCTTCTCATATATTACTGATTTCCCAAATATATAATTTAAAAAGTATGAACGATGACTAATTCCACAACAGTTGTGTGAAATAAAAGTTGGATAGAAATACAACAGCAACAGTGCAGCTTACCAATATGGTGTTCCAATGAATGTCGATCGTACTTCTCGACCATCTTTGCATAGTGCTGATACACCAAAATCGGCTACAATTAAGTTAAATTAAAGCAGTATATAAGTTCTTTTTACTTCCTCCAAAAACTAGATCAGACGCAGCTGAAATTATATCAGCGTTTACATCTACATCAGCAATTGGATTCACAGACTTTAACAGTAATCCTTACTTTCGTGAAAAGTATGAACTTTTTAGTCAACTATATATGTAACTAACAAGCATGGAATGTATATGTAACACTGACTTACTCTAATTTTGATGAACTACTGAAAAAAAACGAGGAAAAAGTTACCTAATTTTACTCTCGCATCACTTGTCAACAATACATTGCCAGCTTTTAGATCTCGATGGATTACATTTTTGCCATGCAGAAAATTCAATGCCTTTAGGATCTCTTTCATGATGTAATGAATTTGTTGTTCACTAAGATGTCGTGAGAGCTCCATCATTATACTATCCACTGCACCACCACCACAATATTCCAACAAAAGCTGCATTGAAAAGGAAATTGATTTCAAGAAATTTGTATAACTTTAGAAGAAAAAAAAAAAACTAGTGTATCAGAATTTCTATAGCGATTAAAACATAATAGATAGTGTATTAAGCGATTAAGTGGTCAATCTATACTAATCAATAATTGTACTAAACTATGTAACCCTTATTCAAATAATGACATTTAATTATTCGTTTACAGAGTTTATAATAGCATGAAAATTGAAATTAGTTTTTTATAGTTTCGTAGAGCAACAACAAGTCATCTTCCGCTACTTGTAGTTCAAACAAATATCGAGTTTCGCTTTCATTAATTATTCTTGTAATAGTAATGAAATATATGAATGTAAATAATAATTAGCTACCGTAATGCGATTACCCATAGTGAACGCATCATAAAGTTCAACAATATTTGGATGTTTACACTGAGTGAGGATTGAAACTTCAACCATCACATCCTGGCTTTCGTCATCCTCCAATTCCATAGCCTATAACAATTACACTTGTTAATTATATATATAATATACGGATGGAAATAAAAAAAAAAAATGTAAACGCATAACAAGTTAACCTTTGCAGCGGCTACTGTTCCTGGCTTCAACTTTGATCGTGCCTTGTAAACATTTCCAAATGCACCATCACCGATCACTTCATCCAATATCCAGTAATCGCAAACATCCGTTTCAATCCGGACAATATCAGGAATAACCTTATTCCCAGTACCAAAACCTGACTTTTGGCCATCACTATTAAAATTCGAACCAAGGATAAACTTTTTGAGCCGATTCACGATCGGCATGGCAAAATGAGCATTTGCTGGCTTGTCTAAAAAAAAATCAAAGTAAATATAACAGCTTGATTTCTTCATGGAACATGTATGTTTATATATATATATATGTCAATGAAATATTTAAGTAGCCAAACCAAGATACATATAAGGCAATACCAAACCTATATACTCATTCATTACGACTTTTTTGAAAGTAGTCCCAGAAGATACAGAACGAGAGAAGGGAAAGTGAAATAAAATATAAAATTAAGAAACACAAAACTAATATTGATGGGATAATTCCAGAAAATAGTGCAACTGGTATCAACTAAAAAAGCAAACAAATTGCTGAATGGTCTAAACCTTCGTAACGATGTTAAAGAAAATGCAAATGTGAAAAAAAAAAGTTAGTAAATGAGATGCTTTTAAGAAGAGAGGAAATAGTAATAATAACATTTCCTCTTCACTGCTATTTATCACCTCAACAAATAAAGTGTGAATATTCATTCCTGATGCCTATCACATCTTTCAACTGAATATTACAAATCCTGTTCCATATGCATTTTTCAGATTGTTAGAAATGAAAATATTACAAAAAAGTAACAATCTAGATTTCCCTTATTATACATCTAGAGTAACCTGGTAGCTTGCAAGGATTTAATATAAAAGTAAACAACGAGACAACCAGTTATATTTCTGAGTATGTAAAGGTTCGCAATGCAATCGTTGTCGTAATCACTTATTGCAACATAATTACGTTAGTAACATCTAGTTGAATGTTTCTAAGCTCACTGATATGCTACATACAAAATAAATTTACATATGCATCAATACTAACTTATATGAACTTAGACTATGGCGCAGAAGGAAGAAAATAAAGTAAGAGAGAAAAGCAATTTATGAATTAATTAATTGCTGCATACTTTCCGAAGTAATACTTAATAGAATCCATAAGTTCTAGTGGTAAGTGAAAATTTTCATTAGGAACTATGCTTACTCATGTACTGATAATATGCACTAGTAGAGAATGTTCTTATTGATGTCCTTTTTATCACTCTTTGATAAAAACTATAAAAAGTATATCATTCAAGCGCAACTTAAGAAAAAGAAAGCTAATTTCACTTATATTTACAGTATGAAAATATAACATATTTTATTTCATTTAAAAATATAAATTTACCTACAAGAATCCCAAAGAATCAGTCACAGATAGCAAAGAAGTATATAAAATAAGCTATGCAACATCTGTATAGTATTTTCTATAAATCAATAACTTAAATTATTCATCAAAACATTTCTAAATTGTAATTTTTTATGACTTACTGCATTTAAATGATTCGCTAAAAAAACGGAAGTTAAGTAGATCATCAAGTTAACAAAGGACATTTTAAATTGAATTTAATACACCCACTGTGCTACTTTATTGAACTTTGATTCGTGCCAAATCATTTCACCCACTTTTTCCCTTTAATTTCCATTGTAAAGAATTTAAAAAGTAACTGAATATCTGAACCAACAGAAAAATTGCAAAAAAAGCCTTGATCTCTTTCATTAAGGATGATACAAAGAAAAATTTTGTAAATTTAGAGCACTTAATTTTTAGTCTTATACGAGTGTATGAGGAAAAGTTCATGTAGAAAAGTACAACTCTTCTCATATATCAAAAAATTTATGCTTATAGACCATTTTTCAAAAAAGAAAAAAGAAAAAAAAAGAAAAGAACGAAAAAAGAAAAGCGTATATAGAGCAAAAGAAAAAAAAAAAAACTTTCTGAGATATGAGAATTAAAGTTCAAATTTTCACTGTAGAAATGTCAGCGATCCTTCATTGTTACACCTTGAACTATGATCTATAAATGACCAAATTTAACACATTGAAACAGCAATATGAAGAGAAATACGAAGAAATTAATTCAACTCTCGAAATCTTTTCTCTCCTAATGTTATATATTTCAAAGTCAGATTACTGAAGAAAATATTGATGATATATTTCTGGGACTACTACTATTACAATAACAGATACAAATAATTTAAGTATAAAATAATTTCTGAAAGTCTGATATAAAGAGCAAAAATATTTCATGGATTAGCTAACATAGCAATATAATAACACTATCAATATTCTAAGAAATGGGTATTTTAAAATAAGACTATAAAATAATGCAACGATATCAGTGAAAAAGTGAACCGTATAAAAATACTAATAATATCAGAGAAATAATATGATGTAAATAAGTCAATACAACAAATAAACAAGCTATGTGAAAGATTTAGGCTAACATAAAAGTCTACTTCATTTAAAATTACAGCAAAAAAAGATAATATATAGAAGTTTAAATGTCACTTCTAAATAATCCTTTTTAATTGCATTTATTGAAGAAAGCAAATATGACTGAATAAAAAAAAAAAAAAAAAAAGAGAAAAAAAGTTTCATCAAATTATGAAAATTCTGGTGAAAAAAAGCACAAAACATGTAAAGTGTAAAAGTTGATAAATACTATATAATAGAATAAATCACATATCGTTTCAAATCGTAGCATCCTTTGCTATTAAAATAAAGCATATAAGTTACAAATTTAGAAAGTTTTTTAGCAGTACATTCTTACGTAGGGTTATTTCGAAGAAGTCGTAACTCACGTATTCACTCACGCAACTCTCCCTCATTTCTTTCATACGCTAAATGCATCACTTCATTGACTCATCATAAAAGTTAACGGTCGAGTCACACTTTGTCATACGTATGGGCCCGACCATGTCATAAAAATTATATTAAGAATGTACGTATGACATAATTTCACGTTTCATATTTTATCTGTATGATACCCTGAGTTTCAATTAAGGTTAATAACTTTAGACTCTAAGTCATAGTAAAGTGAGAAAAGCTTATACGTGAAAAAAGTGTACCTATAGATTTTTAGGCCGGGCCTGTTTTTATTATTTGCTACGTAATAATTAAGTCATTGGTAGTTAAGTATTATTGTGATTATTTATATTGTACCTAATTTGTTAATTAGTTTTTGGGTACAATTGTTAGAACCATCTAAATTTACTGATTAATTTTAAATAGTCCATAATTTGAAATTATGCGATGCGATCTTAATATCTTAATTAATTCTTTAGTGCTTTGCTGCATGTTCATACTGAAGCGATGCCTATCACTGATAATACTAAGAAGATTATCAGGGATTGCAGATTGAATGACATTGAGTCAGTTAATATATATAATATATTGGTAGTCATGAAAAAAATAGTGTGTGCAAGTCAAATTTTTTTTTTAATGAGTCAAGAAAAAAGATTTACTTTGCGTAGAATTCACATCTTAAGTTGCTGTTTTTGCATGTGATATTTTTTAATCTACAGGATGAATGTTAACTACGGTGGAGGTAGAAGACGTGCGGTGAGTCGGCAAACGGCTGAAGAACAAGTACTTGACCGGATTTCTCGGAATGTAAGCGCTTCTTAAACTGTATACTCGACCATAATTGTCGCGCCATTATGTTAAAATTGATGATCTGGAAAACGAATTGTTAAAAAAGATTTAAATTCTTACTGCAGTCAACACTGATTATGTAAATTTCAGGTTCCCCAGCGACTCTTAATGGGACTTAGATTTCTCCAGTAAAATCTAATATTAAAATTTTAATGAGGCGTTCCCTGTTATTCATTCCTCACGTTACTAGATATAATTATTATTTAGGAAAAGACTTTGGTTTTTTGTTATTTAATCAGTTTTCAACAAGGATAACCTTATCGCTCTAGTCTTTTCGAGTCTAGGAAAATGAGAGCACTGCAAATATTATGATTGTTGGCTTTAAATCCAGTATGAGGTTAATTTAATAAAAATAAAAAAAATTTTGAAGGCAGAAGAACGGTTGACTCGTAAAAGACAGGCTCGTGAAGAAGCGCGACAGATACGTTTAGAGCAACTCGAAAAACAGTATCGAGAGGTAACACCATATTTCACTCATTATTATCATTTGTTACTATAAATATTTGTGTTATTATTATGATTATTACTATCAGTACCATTATTACTTGTTTATGCTTTTGATGTTTTGTCGTTAATCGACCTGGTTAAAAGCTGTGAAATAACAAAATAATTGCGAAGGAATGATTAAAGAGAAAAAGATTTGGAAAAATAATCAAAAACTGGTAGTAAAGTTAGAAAGATGATTAAAAATAAAGTTACTTTGACCTGTTTTACTTCAACGTACTGTTGTAGTCCCATCTCATCTCAGAAATGAAAATAAAGAGGGGAAAAGCGAGGTATGGTTGGTTTTTCATCGTTAAATTTTGAGATTGGAATACATTTTATTTGAAAAAATTAAATTGATAACAACCTTTTATTGCTTGTGTTAAATATACAACAGTAAGTTTTCTGAAACTAGTTTCTGAATGCTTTCTTAGGGCAGGAAAGAGTAGAGCTAGTGTACTCTTACTACTACAACAGTTCCCATTGTCATTGTATTGGTTGTTTCCAAAACATAAAAATTTGATGCGACATATACTATCTGCTACATTTATTAATTTTGCTATGTCATGAGAAATCTTTGATAATTTTACCAGTTTCCACTTAATCTTATCTTCGATTCTGCGTTTACTGTATGCCATTAAAAAAGTATTCATATGTAGGCAAGATCTTTAATTCATGAATTGCTTTAGCTCTCCACTGATAATTGTGCACTTGTCAGAAAAAAAATCTACAAAATTTTCTTATTTTAAATACAGAACATAACTATTATCATTTAAATATAATCGAAACTTCTTAAATTTTCAACATTTATAGCAAGACTGAAATGATGTTAAGTTTTTGAACAATTGTTGAGATGAAAGGAGACAATAATAATAGTTGGAAATCTCGTCGGTGTGTTCTGTTACTATATTTGGTATTCATTTTATAGGCTGAAACAGATGGTTGCAAAGGTGATGAAGAAGACATAGTAAGTTTTTTCTCTATTTCAAAATTTCTTTTGGAGTATTTATCTTCATGTTTTCTCTGCTTATTTCTAATTTAACGTTTTACGATTCATCCGAACTTAAGAAACATCTTATAAGATTGTGGATCCTAATTTAACATATTCTATACTCAATGTTTGTCAGTATAAACGTTCTCAGATACAAATTTGACTCTTATTTTATTAAATTAAATATCAGTATAGAACTCTTACAAAATTTGCAATTCAAAATATGTTCTAACAAAATTGATTTGAAAAGTTCTCACTTTCCTAGTAAATTATGATTTATTTCATTTATTGACAATTTTAACTGCATGCGAAGCTATTTTCAAACCTAATTTTTTTTTCTACTTTTGAATTCTAATTTGGAAGAATCATTTATTTAAATTGTAAGATATATTCAGTTTTGTTATCATATTGTTGAAAGATTACTGATATTCTCGTTGGGCTTTTAGTATATATAGCTGCTGCTTGTCCTTATATTGCATACTTTCTAACAGAGTCGTCATTTTATTTAAATTTTATTTGTCGCGTGCATACTTATTACGTACTCCAGTATTCATACTACCATTTTATTTATTGCTTCAACGCGTATTATTTATTGATGAGTGTTGAACATTACTTGTGTGTTGCGAGTGTTGCTTTAGTTCCTTTATTACCTTAAAACTCAAGATGATCAATATTACCTGATGGCGTAATCAGTTTTAAATTTCATATAAACCTTTTCTGCTTGTAGACCATTGTTTTAATTTTGTCTTGGCGAAGGATTGACGGAGATAATTTATAATCACTATGATGAAAGTGACCCATGTTCGTTGTGTTATATTTTTGTCCTTGTTGCATAGCATTGTATCAGGTTACTGTCCTGAAAATCCTATTAGTAAGACTCACTTTTGACTTTTTTAATTTTATGTACTATGTTTTTGCCTAATTTTTATTTATTACTAATGTGTGCATGTGTTTGGCATGGTTTAGAAAGACAATATTCCGACAACATCAACATCTCGAGGCGGTACACCGTCCAGAGATAGCAAAGCATTGGAACGGGCAGCCCTAAAGGTTTTTATTTTATTTTTTCAGGCGTTTTGTAGGTGACGGACTTGGTTTGGGATTTATTGAAATTGAATTACCGATAACTTCTTTGTTTGCATGCAGTTTAGCTTTCGTGAGGATCTGTTTGGTTTTGACCAAAATTGAACACAAACTTCTCAATTTTACATTGAAGATTTCTCTGTAGTTCAATATTTTAAGGAAAAAGTAAACGAATTGCAAAACAAATTTCAACGAGCCATGTTTATGTATTCCCAATTAGATAATGAGAAATCAGCCTTATTGTATGAAATTGATTTGCTGAAAGATGAAATGGAAGAAAAAGAGCAACTTTTATCACAAGCTAACCGGGAGTCTCGTGATTTAGCTACTGTTAGTTATTTTTACCTTATCTAACCTAAATTCTTCAATCATTATTTCTCATCAAAGTTAACAGTGATTTTAGTATTCGATTTATAAATTGTTTCTGAAATATGGAACGAAAAACGTCCTTAGATCTCATAATTCCTTAGAATGTATAAAGGTTTACTCATAATGAAGAAAACTTATGATAAGCGTTATATACTTTTGGTATAGAGATATTAAATATTTGGTCTCATATTCAGCGAAATTTCAAATATTCAGTAACAGTTAAAAGTAAACTGAAAACTAGTTTCAATAAGTAAAATTCATTTTAAAAACTCGAGGCATAAAATTCATTTATTTAGACTCTAATGTGTGCATGAATTATTGTCAAATAATTCAGGAAGTGAAACTGCTAAAACGTACAATTGATGGTTTGAATGCTCAACATGCAACGCTACGATCGGAAATAGCGCAGCGTGATCAAATCATACAGGTAGTTATATACGTAGATTGCTTTGGTTGCATTCAATGCATTTACTGCTGAAATATGTTGATAGACTTTCGAATTATATCCGAATGCGCGTTAGGTCTACAAATTAGCTAACCTCTTATTTATCCGTTTATTTTTTGAAATTGAAAAGAAAAACGCATCAGTTTAAGAGAACAGTTTGAATTTTATTATTCAATAAATTTTGCACGACATGAATTTTTGGTTTCTGTCGAATAAATTAAGAGCATTCTGCTGGATGTTGTTTCTGTTTGTGAATTTTGTCTATTAGGCTACTAATTTTTTCTAGGAGAACGGGTTAGTTTTGGCGGAACAAGAAAAATCTGATGCATTGTTAAATGGCACGGATAATGTGTAAGTTATTTTTCTTGGATTTTATTACTCGATGCATACAGCTAATAATTTCATCGTTTCTTAATATGAGATTAAAATGACTTCCTGCATTTTGATCTCGTTGATGACTTTTTTTTTCTGGCTTCTTTTACTTGATAATTGTTACTTAATCAGCATAGTTATATGTATGTCTTTTTGAGGTGTATTGATACTTCATATATTATGATTATTCCAAAATACAACATTTTATAAAAAAATGGGTTGCATTTTTTCCCATGCTTCTTTTTATAACGCAATTAGTCATCACCACATGGATTGGAATAACAGATTCCCTGGGAAACTTCTGCGTGATCTTTATGTTTAATTTAGATTAACTATGAAATGATGAACTGAAAATGAAAATATAATTAGAAAATCCAGGAAGTTTATAAAATTATATACATTGTAAAGCTCTCAATTCTAATTAAATGCTAGTTCAAACTTTCTTACCTGCAAGTTTAAAAATTAATACTTTTTCCATTAACACAAAAAAAAAAATATTTTTTCCATAACACAATGATCACTTTTTATTGCATCGTTTAGATTTACTTTCTTCTGCAGGTTTGATAAAGAAGGAAGATATTTTCTTTCAATTTACAATAATTTACAGTTGGGTGAAAGGTTGCAACTATCTATTACTAATTTTTAAGTCATAATCTTCAAAACTTTCTTAATAGGATGCTGAAAAACAGCAGTATAAATCTCGTACTAACACAGTTAGCATGAAATTTATACATTCTTTCCCAACTTGACATTATGAGATAATGTGGCAAGATGAAATCGATTAATTCATTAAGAATATATTTCGCAACGTAAAAAATAATTGTACGTGGTAGCACCAACCTAAAATTTATTGATGATGATGGTTTGATTATTTTTAAGATTATTGTAATAATTCGGTGATGCTCTAAAATAACGGATTCCATTATTAATTTATCTCATTATACAATCAGTTAATATTAACTAATCCCGTGTTAAAGAAGATTAGGACGATCGGAAGATTTTATCTGAAAAGCGGCTTAAGGTCAAAAATTCCTTTTCTATAACATTTTTCCTTTTTTATATAAATGGCAGAAAAAAATTACGGTATAAGATGACAAAGTTGAAAAACAAATAAGCGATGAGGGAATTTCAGAAGAAGAACGGAGTGCCATGTTGGAATTATTGCTAATTCTGTTTTCATTAATTATCAGATTTCTGATGTGATGAGAAAAATTCATTTGAAAATCCTACATTGCTACACTTTGATTTTTAATGGCACTGTTTTTTAATTCAAAATGGAAGGAACTCATTTCGACTTAGTCTGCGAATTTTTTCTTAGTGTTATAGTCTATTGCAAATTTTTGAGTTTTAAGTCAAAGTTCTTTTCTTAAAGTCTTATTATCCTATTTCAATGTCTATTTCAATGGTAAAACAATGAATTCATGGAGCTGTTGTAAGAATGTTTTTACATATTTTTTGATATTATGATTTATGAACGATAGACTATTATTTAATTTATTTAATTTTAGAAAGATGCTATCATTTATCATTATTAATTTCGATTATACTTTTACTATAAACTGTTATATTTAAGCCAAACAACTCCACTGATATTTTCTCAAACAACGATAGCACTTGTTGAAAAAGCAGTTCCTGGTTCCTCTTCAATAGATGAAAAAGTTAAAAGATTAGTTGATGTGGTAAGCTTTTAAAATAGAGCTTTGTATATCACAGATAGAAAAAAAAAATAATTATTATTATCTAGTAATTAAAAAAAAAAAATTTAAAAAAAAAAAAAAATAATTATTATCTAGTAATTATTTGTCGACTTATTGAGATATCTCAAATATAACGTTTTCCTCCTAAATAGTTCTATAGTTTATTACTTTAATTTTCATTCAAAATTTTTTCAGAACAAAAAAATGCGTCAACAAGTGGAGGAAGCAGAACAGTCATTATATGTTCGTAGAACAGCTCGTGCCGATCTTATGAATAGCGCACAGAATGGTATACTTGGTGATGAATTACAAAGTGTGCATCAACAATCTTTTTACTGCTTTTTTCTTTTTCTTTTGAAATTACTTGTGAGATAGCATAGTTTTGATTGTTTGTCATGTTAATATAATTGATTTAGGCAATAAGCCTTTATAAGATATCAATTTTTACGATAATGTTTAGATATTGCTATGTTTTACTTCTGTTACAACACATAGTAATATGGATTCTGGAATATTGGAAATAAGGTTTAAGATATATTAGACAATGAAAGTATCCATGATAATAGAATCTATACAGGTTGAATTATTGTTACCAACTTTTGTATTTAAGCTAACAATTTTAAAATCATTTTAGGAGATGCAGCCAAGCAACTAGCAGAAATCAAATTTAAACTGCAAGAAGCAGAACGTGAAAATACAAATTACCAGGGCAATGTTGGTTTTTAGTGTTTTTTGAATTGAAGATGAATTTTTCCTTTGAATCTTATAGAATCATTTTTATAAAGGAAATTATACATAGGTTTCTCCACTGCTATATTAAAAAACACATTTTTCTATACATTAAATTTGAAGAAATTTGCATTTGTAAGAGGTTTAATGAGAAATTTGACTGTTTTTTATCTAAATCATCTTAAATGATATATATATATTCTTATAGCTAATACGTGTAGATGGACAAATGAAGAGGTATAAAGCAGCTGCTGAACAAGCAGAAAAAGAGCTTTTAGAATTAAAATCTCAAAATCGACAGCTGAAAAAAGAGGTGTGTTATTTTCTTGGTATGGGAAAACTATTAATAATGTGTTTCTTTTTAGAGGTCTCTTTATTACTTCTTTAAATTTTGTTTATTAAACAATCATGGGAGTCAAAGGCTAGAATTGCAGTTAATTAATATTATTGATTAGAGATATTATCGTTGGAAAAAGAAAACATGGAAAATATTTTCGTATATTTCATGTAATTTTTGGCAAAACAAAGTAAATATTTGCTAATTTGGGAATTATTTCAAACCAGTAAGTGTTATGTGTTATGAGTGATAAAATTTTGAAGATAAACAGAAGTCAAAGGATAAGTAGGTAAGTGATTAAGCGAGATGAATGTAATGGAAAGTTGATGAAAACCAATAAGTATAATTTTTCGGATGAATGAAAAAACTTTATGGATTATTCTTAAGTAATAATTAGCATGACAGAACAAAGCATTACTGATATTATGATTAAATGATATTTGATATGAAAACTTAAATGATATGAAAACTTCATGAATAATCATGGCCATAATTTACTAGTGTTGCATAATACTATTCAATTCCTTGTGAATGCATAAAATTTCAGTGACATTTATTACAATAAAGAAAAAACATAGAGCATGATTTTTTCCATTTCTCATATCTGAGTGAAAAATTTCAATTCTTCATTTAGCAGAAAATGCTGATTGTAACTTCTGAAAAAGAAGATGGAGGAGCATTATGCCCTGTTTTCCGAGGCTCCCATTTTTCATGTTTTTTAATTAGAAAAGCTTTCTGAATTGTAGAATTAATGCGCCAAATAATTTAAGGTTAGAATGACGTCAACTCACTCCAAGTTTTTGTTTTTCTCTTTTGTTTGGGTGATAGTTGCTTCTGCTCACATTATTGTTGTTGCATTCAAAGGCAAAATGTGAGTTGATTAACTTACAGATTTGAATTAGTTTAATTATAGAGTGTGGTTAGCACATAATGAAGACTGATTGCATTCTCGAGATTTATTGCAGCTTCGTGATAAGGATAATGCTCTGGACGAAGCCAAAGAAACAAATCGTCATTTGCAGAATAGAATTGAAAAATTACGTTTATCAGGCTCTCGAAGACCTTTATGATTGTGAAACTGGAAATTTCTTATATTATCTATTCCTCCAGCAACGGTTGCTTTTTTAGATTGTCGGTGTGCTTAGATAATAAGTTAATCTGTAGTCTGGTGCTAATGTTTTAATTTAATTTATGCGAATTATTTGTTATTTTTTCACCAATCGATTTTTATCTATCGATTGTTGAAATTATTAGTTCAATCCCATTAATTACTGCTATTATGATATGAGGCTATATGACACACTTTCTTTTGCTCTATGGTAATTTCATAGTTGTTATACATTATCGATTCTACCGTTGACTTTATGAAATTCTCTCACTGTGGTCAATAGCTTACAGACTTCAGAGATATTGTCATTGTCATAGTTATGTTAGTCTTTAAATTTTTGATAGTACTTCGTTATCGAATTGACTTCTCAGTAAGTGAACTTCGAATTTTTCATGCTTTTGAACTTTCCAACTTTTTTCTTTTTTTTTGTTATACGCGCAATACTGATTGCCAAGATAAGTAAGCTAAGTAAATAATTGCTGTTTTATTGCTGTGATTGTTGTTCAAAAAATGATTATGTTGGTAATTTGATGGTGATTTATAATGTTTGTGTTATATTTTTATTAACTGTATTCGAGATTTTCCTAGACTAAAATTTTTTGTTCTGATAAGCAAGCAAATGATATTATCGGAATTTTTTATTTTTATGATTTTAGACGCTAAGGCAACCTTTTTAAGCGCAATTATCCGTAAACGATCGCTTTTTATTTTATTTAAATTAAGGATTAGTTTATAAGATCATACATAATTCTTATCATTAGGATGCATATAATTTTGAAGGCGGAGCTGAACGATATCCGTAAACATTATAAATGACACAGGGGCGTATCAATCTTCCTTATCTTCCGGTTGCAGTTTCTCTTGCATTCTCAAAATCATTTTTAGAATAATTATGTTGATGATGAGTATGGTAAGCAACATCAGTAAAAGTACTCTTCGTACTTTCTTGCTTCTCATTCTAACTGTAACAATTGCATCAACTTTTGAGTTTGGTGAGCTAATGGTGAGTTTCATAATTTATTATAATTTAAGATGATAAGTAAAGAGAGAGAAAAAAAAGATAATGAATAATATATATATATGTATTTATCAATCTTACCACTGCACATCATTCCTTTCCCCATTTTTACTCGATGAAGTATCAAGTCGATAATTTATATTACTATTTAAGAGATAATTTGTTTGATGTTTCTTCCATTACTTATTATTATCTGTTCAATATTTAAATTGTTTGTTTATCATTCGTTAGGTAATGCTTATTGCTTAAGCAAAAAAGAAAAAAAAATGCTAATAGTAATAATAATAATAAAACATTGTGAAGACCATGAAATAAATGCTCAAAATGTTTTAGTCTTTTAGTCATTGTACAGTAGTTTATCTTTTCTTTCTTTTAAAAATATGAGTGTATTCATATTATAATCAATCATTTTGCATGCTTTTGTTATATTTATTATGATTTTATTACTCTATTATAGTGATAGTAATAGTAAGTTGTCATAAAAGTAATTTTGATATCAATCAAGTTACAAAAAAAAAACAATGAAACAGTTAATATTGATGATTAATCCTTATCCTTATATGTATCTATAAATAAGAAATCAGTTTGATTGAATTGATGAAGAATGAAAATTCGGTCAAATAATTTGAATTCCTTGACCTTAAAAAAAGCGAAGAGAAATGCTGTAAATATTGACTTATTTTAATGTTACGTAAAGGAATGAAAAAGTGGTCTAGAAGGGAAGGTTGTTTCTAGTATTATCTTTATTAAAAGTTATTAATTTATATGTGATACATTGATTTATTACATATTAGACAAATATGATAACACTAAGATATTGATTAATTGGATACATTAATTCTATCATATTCCAAATCTGAATTTTTCTAGCTAAAATAAAATTTATTTTGGAAAAACCATTATTTGTTTGCAGTAAACTAATAGAAAAATTTGTAAAGGTTGTAATTAATTAATTAACTGGAATCTTTGCCGTTACATTAGATGAACCTATTTAAGTAACAAATATTGAAGTAAATTGTATTTAAAAAAAAAAAAAATCAAACTTTTTTCAATAACAAATATTGAAGTAAATAGTATTTAGAAAAAAAGAAAATTAATTAATTAAAATTCTTCCAAATAGTCCGATGATAATCTTAATATAAATGATATGAATAAATTAATTTTTTATGTATAAGAAATTGAATTTAACTTAATAAATGATTTTTTTTAAAAAAAAAAAAAGTGTAAGAATGATGATAGTATTAAAATTGATGAAAGTATGCAATGACAGTGTTTAAAATTATTTGATGAAATTCTTAATAAATGATACGAGAAAGATTAGAAATACTGGAATTTAGCATTTAATATTTTCTTTTTCTTTTACAAAATGAAGAAAATGTTGCCAAAGAAGAATTAAAATAAAAATATTGGAGAGAAATACGAATATTAATGGTACAAAATGATACTGTTAAATTTTATTGATTAAGTTGCTATTATCTCCACGAAATTTTAATTCACATACTTATTAAAACATATGCATTTCAAAGTTGCTTACTTTTTTCTTTTAAATAATTTATTGAAAATAGGAAACTCTCAAAGTGCTTAAATATTAAAATGAAATTTTCTACCTTTTTCATTCTTTTTTATCTTATTAAATGAAAACAAACTGTTTATTGAAATTAATGAAAATATTTCCATAAGGTAAAGAAATAAAAAATAAAGTTAAAGATATTTTATTTTAAAAAAATATGTCAATATTATTTAGTGTTCATTCATTTATCAATTTTTGTGCAACATTTTTTTTTTAATCTATAAAATGAAAATAATTTATGCTAAAGAAAAAAAAGCAAAGATATGACAGAAAGAAAAGAATAACAAAATTGATAAATGATGAATAATATCAGTACTGATAAGGAGAATAGCTTAGTGTAAGCCCATTGTGATTATCTTATCATTAATTTCTATTTCTATTGCTTCATTTATACAACTGTAAGAGATTTTCTTAATTAATTAATTAATTAAGATTTTTTCTTTATTAAATTTTATTTGGAAATAAATACTACTATATAAGAATATACTTCGAACACAAATTTGATCTGATCTAGTATGATTTGATTTAATTATGTCATTTAAAGCACTAATTATCATTACTATTATTATTATTATTATTATTATTATTATTATTATTATTATTATAAATATTTTCTTGCTTTCTAGGTTTTCAAATAAATATATAACATTTTGTGATAACAACTTACTTTTTGAATATGCAAAGTAATATTAAATTGAATTTTGGAAAATTTGTTTATTCTTTAATTTTATCTATTAAATTGATAGTTTCATTTTTTTTTTCTTTGATAATTTTGATTTCGTATAAAAAGTTACACATATAAAATAATATTGAATTTCAATCTGAAAGATTAATTTTAATTCTAAAATGCAATGAATATTGAAAGAATTATTTAAAGATACCATTTTTAAATTTCATTTTTTGTTGACATATTAGTATAATTTCAAATAGATGAAAAAATGATATGTATGACAGCAAAAAGGATAAAAAATTATTTTAAAAAGTACATTATTAGTGTATGATTAATTTTAAAAATTCAATTAATATAATTAGTGTTGATTGAATTTTTTTTGGACTTTTTTAAAAGCATTTTTTTTGAAGTTTGAATTTGTTAAATCAAAAAAAAAATTTTTTTTTTCTTTAGAAAAATCAGATGTAATATAAGCACATACACACATATGTAAGTTTTTTTAACATATACATATTTTTTTTTATTCATTATTAAAAACAAAAATCTGTTAGTGAAATTTTTTCAAAATTTTTATATGAAATGTTTCGCAGTTATTTATTTTTCATTTTTTGATTTTAAATTGATTTTTTTAATTTTAAAAGAGAAAAAAGAATATAATGGCAGATTGATAATGCATTGTTAATATATGAAAATGATATTATAGAATTGAAATTAATAAAATTGTTAGAATTATAAATGAAAAAAAACTTAGCATTCATTCATAATACAATGATAACAATTTACATTTATTGTAATACAGTTAAAAACCAGTGATAATGTTAAGATTAAAAGGAGAAAAATTATTGAAATTTAATGAAATTATTTGCATTCAAATAATTACTATTTAACTGTGATATTCAATGAAATTATTATTATTATCAAAAATATAAATGAAAAAAGTACTGACATTATCATAACATAGTGATATCATTTGAGTATAAAAGAAATGAGAAAGAATGAATTATTGAATTAAAAAAAATGGTCAAATGTTAATAAGTAAAAAAAAAAAATTTGTTTGAGGTATTTCATGAATTGAGTATTAATTATTTGTGACGAATTTTTATCTAAAAAAAAAAAAAAATATTAATTAATCAATTTTGTGATAGTATGTTTACCTTCTTCATATCATTTTATATAATTTAGTATTTTATTTTTTTTTTTTTTTTGAAAAAATTATTTCTACCATTTGCATTAGTTCAATTCTTTTATATTAATGATATTAGTCTTTGCTATTTTATTTGAAATTATTTTTTTCTTTCATGAAGAAAAAAAGATTTAAATTTAATAAATTTGTTATTAAAATTGAAATTATTTATTTCTAGTATGGTGATAATGAATTACAAGGAGCATGGAAACGAAGTAATGCAGAGCTTATCAATGGATTAATTGGGATGGATTTGGGAAAGTTAGCAAAAGCTGGTAAAAGGAGCCGCACATCATCGATGATAACAAATGATGAAAATATCAACAATGATATTCGATTTAAAATGAATTTGAAAAAATTATTATCAAATCAGCGTCACTACTAACTGATAAACGTTTATTTTGCTTATCATTATTTATTCCAATAACAATATTATCATTATTAAATGATAACTTTTCCATTATTCATCCTTTACATGTTAGCATTTTTTGCAAAATAAATATATGATCACATAATGATAAAAAGAAAAATGATAATAATCGCTGAAAGATATTGATAATCATTTTATCATGAATTTTGTTCAAATAATTTAATTACATCAATTGTTTTGTTGAAGAATTAAATTAGTTTGATGAATGATGGAACTTTTTATATGCTATCAATAAAGCTTATCATTTAATTTATCATAAGTCAATTAATAAGCGTTTCAATTTTTTTTTTTTTTAATTTGATTTGATAACTAGCAGCATTCAATTTCACGCGCAATAATTAATCATTTTGCTAAGGAATGATAAATGTGAGAAAGGCAACAATTTTCAAACATTAAACTGTTAAATGATTAAAAATTAAACTGATACTAATGGTAGATAATAAAATGAATGAAGAAATCATCATTTTCCTTTTTCTTCTCTCTTAAATTGAATTATTTATTGATAACAACTGATAAAGAAAAATATGCTAACTTATGATTTTAATCTTAATTATGGTATCAAATTGTGATTTTATTCTTTAATGTAATGATAATTTGACAGGATAATGATTTGATGTTATCTGATGAAATTTAATTAATAATATGCTTAGATTTAATCAAAATTTAAATCAATGATACTCGTTTGCTCTTATCTAGCTTTGTTTAATCATTATGATTATAGCAAAAAGAAAGATAACAGATCGATACACTAATTCTAATTATGTAAATTTTATTGTTATACTTTATTTGTAGCAATTATATTACTGAATCATACGATATAAATGCATTGAATTTAACATCCATTTAATTGCTTTATTTCTAATTAAACGAAAAAGTGTAGTAATGCAATGAGAAATATTATTTACAAAATGAAATGAAAATGAATACAATGGCAAATAGATTTCCAACGAATAAATCAAATTGAATGTATTGAGTTGAATGGACCTGAATTGAAGTAAGTTGAACTGAAATAAACTGAATTGAAATAGGCTAAAATGAAATAAATTGCAATAGAATAAAGTGAATTGAAATAATTTGAATTTTTTTAAAAAAAAAAAAAAAAGAAGGCAAATTATCAGAAAATACATCAAATAAATAAATGAAATTACAAAAAAAAAAAAAAAGAAAAATGTATGAAAAAGAGTTTAAATTTGACTAATATAATATTGATAAAAATTTATTTTTGATTATTTTTAAAGGAAGAAAAAATCAGCCTTGGATGCTTACTAATAAAAGTTTTACTAGAACTTTAACGAACGTATAAGAATTGAAAATAAATGGTAATGAATAAAATTGATTTTTTTTTCAGGTGTTTTTATTTTAATCAAATCCATTTCTTTTTGAAATACAAAAAATTGGAAAAAAAATTTCAAAATGAATAAAATAATTTAAAGGAAAAACGAACCACAAAATAAAACAAAGAAAAAAGATTTGAGTAATAATTGATGTGTAGGATATTTTCTATCATAATTTAATAAAAAATTATTACAATCATTACTGTTATAACACTGCTAATGCTATTATTGAAATAATAATCGTTCTTTTTTTTTAAAAAAAAAAAAAAAAACTTTTCAAATTTCCATTAAATAATAAGTACAAATACTTTTTCGTAATTTTTTGAATACTCATATTACAATTTTTAACCATTTCGTTTATTTATTTCTTTTTTTTTATGCTACTGAAATATTTTTATTATTTCTCATTCTACAAACAGATGAACTGAATTAAATTGATAAGCTTTTTTAAAACAAATTTATTTTACAAAGGATATAACGCAATATAAGAGTTACCCGAATATTTGAATATACTATTTCTTTTTTTCATCTTATTATTATTTATTTATTTATTATCATTATCACTATTATCATTCGTTACTATTATTTTCAAAAGAAAATTAAAAAAAAGCAATGTGTGCCTAATTGATTTTTCCATCTATTCCTAATCTATAATTAAAATCTTACCCATCTCTTTGTCAATGAAAGGAATCAATTTTATTTAAAACTTAGCAAATTCCATTATTCTTCTTTCATTCTTAAATATAAAATAAAACAAAATAAATTCAAAATATAAAAATGATACTATTTAACAGATTTATGTAAAAATTTGCTCACATCATAGACTTATTTTCATTTCTTATTATTGGTTATTTTCATGAAATTTTTTTCCTTAAAATAAATAGAGAAAAACTGCTTAGCATATGAATTGCGAATTTTGAATGTTCTTATTAAATCCATTCATTTTTAAAAATTCTTATAAAAAAAAAGTGTTCAAAAGTTATTTAAAGTAAAGTATGATACAAAGTTTAAAAAGAATGGAAAAAAAAAGAAACTATGTAAAACGAAAAATAGATAAAAATGAAAAGATAACAACAAACAGTGGAGATGAATGAATATTGTCTAAAATATTGACAAGAAAAAAGAAAATTAAATTTATACATTTAAAGATTATGAAACAACAATTTCGATGTAATAATTGCAATAAAACAATTGTAAAAGATTATTAAGAAATATAGTAGAAGAGGAATTTTATGAAGAAAGTACATATAAGAGGTAAAGAGAATGCTGAATAATTTTTTAATATTATTTTACTAAAAAAGAAAAAAGCTTGATTCATTAAGAAATTTTCTTTACAGCCTCTTTTCTTAATCACTACTAAAGATATTCTATTTATTTCAATTAAACTATTTATGATTTTAATATTCTGTTATACTTTATCAATAAAATGATAATATCAAATATACTATGTGTTTTAATCATTATCAATTATATAGTTTTTCCATTTTGCACTAAGTGCCGGAAGAAAAAAAAAAAAAACGAAATGCTGCTTGTATTTAATGAAATATATGAAATGAAGCGTTATTTTAATTTGAATCAAGATATTCTTGTTTTTGACAATAATCCAAATATTTAAGTTTTGATAATAATTGTAATAAGGAAGTAAAGCGTACGTATTATCACTGTACTTTACTTAATGCATAAACAGTAGAAGTAAATCTTTTATTAAATGCTTCATTGGTTTTTAAATTGATTTCAACCATTTTTGAAACAGAAACATGTATGCCCATCATTTCTTGAAATACAAATAACGAACATGTCATATAACATAACAAAATACAAAAAGAAGGAAATGTTTGAGCTGAACTAAAAAAAAAATTATTTTTTCACGAATTTCGCAAAAAAGTTGAATAGCAAAAAAGAAATTAGCTCAACAGAAATGAAAAAATATTTCATATTTTTTCTTTCTTTCATTCCCTAAGAAATTCAAAAAAGTAACGACTACTCATCACTTATGCAAGTCTTTCATACAGTATTAACAGATCTAAGTGAATAAAGAGTGGATTCGACTTTATCCTTCTGTAATTGATCACCAGAAATCTTATCATTTAAGTTTTTCCTAAGAAATAAAACTAAAAAATCCATTTATTTTGGATTTAATAATAGCCGACAAAGCAGCCATAAATGAATATAAACAACAGAAGAACAAAACAATTCAACATATCTGATAAATTTTGGGTTTGTTGATATAACGAAAACTTCGTTTACCAAACGTCCCACGCGAAAATTTATGTCGTAATCGTCGTCGCAATGGAATACCAACCTGAAAAATTCAATATGATCGAAAATGTTTTCAGTTATTTTAAGCTGTAAAAAATATTAAAAATAAATTTACAACACATGCATTTAACTTGCATTGCATTAACATAATTTTTTGTAAATTGAAAAAGATAAATCTGATCTTTCAACTTCTATTCAAAATTGTGATAAATAAGCTATTTAAATCAACAAATCAAGGTTACCATAGAAGAAAACATTAACAGTTCACAATTTTGGAATTTTTCAAAATTTTGCAAAAATATGTACGTCAGGTGAAATTTTTTTTTTTTTGTATTGCAATGTTTAATTTTCTCATTATAAATGAAACGAATACTTTGAAAACCATTTATTTCAAAAAAAAAAAAAAATGAATAATCAACATAAAACCAATTAATACTTACTACAGCTTCAATTTCTTTCTTGTACCTCAAAGCCACTTCTTTCACGTTGATCGGTTCTTGCTCTTTCTCCAAATCAACAAATTTTAATATTAGGCTGCAAAAAAGGCAGTTTAATTTATAATAGCACAACTTAAGATGCAAATCAAAAAAAATGACAAAGTAACTGAAATGTGAACCACTACACGTCTATATCTCAAAAGATTTAATTATCGTTCTTTAGGATTATTAACAAGCGTTTATGTATAGGTAAAAGTGATTTTTAATTTTAATAATTCGATTTTTCTCAGCATCAATTGCTCTATGGCTCTATGTAATCTCTTTATTTCCCTTTATAATTATTTAATTCTGGCAGTAAACACTATGATTTGATTAGAAATTCACTGATTTATCAATGAATTTGAATGACATTTTAAGAAAAAAGGAAAGCTGTCAAAATCAAAAAATAATAACCTAGGACCACAAATATCTTGCAGAGAATAATGCGATTTATTGAAAGAATCAAGATTATTGAGCGAATCAAGCTCATTAAATGGAAACTTCTTATCTGCTGTAACTCCCCAACATCGCATCAATGCATCCATAGCGGCCATATCGACTGCTATAGATATCGTTTCACCAGGACCTTTAGATATTTTGTTAAAAATACAAAAAGTAACATATTTAAAATAGAGAGCTTTAAAAACAATTATAATGCTAACTGAATATCTACATAAATAATCAAAAAATAAAAGGATAAGAAAGTTTGTAAAAGAGGTTTACTTCCTTGTGAGCAAGCCAATTGACCTGACCCTTTATTCTTCCTCCCTCAATCCCCTTGTATTTGTCCTTATTACTAAGAATTAAGTATCGGAAACTTCAAAAAAGAAGTGAACATCAAAAGGATTTGAAGATCGCACTAGTACCATAAATCAACAAATGCATAAAATATGCTGTTCATTTATTTGATCTGCGCTTATTGCCCCATGAACTTGTCACATCTAGGGGTCAAAAAGTGCCGTATGGAAAGTAGTTGTCTTTTTTCCATGATGAACAATTGACTCTGACTGTTTGACTAAGAAATCTGAAGTAGAAACCATTTTAACAAATAATTCTATAAATGACAAATTATTTGTCAATTTAATCCCTTACGCAGTGTTTCTGACTATTGTCAAAAAAGCGACAGTTGAGCCATTGCTAAGGATGTTAGCTTTTTAAGGCTTTTATCTATTCCGTACATCGATTATTCACGCAAAGTACTATAAATTGCATCAAAGTCTTGCTATCACTATACCTTATAAGACAAATTTCAAACAAATTGAAGATGACACAGATATATTTTCTATGAATCTGGATGTAATAAAAATATGCTCCCTCTCTCTCTTTAAAAACGAAATAGATTTCAATAACACGAAGAAATCTTACATTAAGTATTAAAATTAAAACCAAAAGGTTAATAGTCAATTTATATTTGTAATCGATCTTACAATATAATAAATCTTGTTTAAAGAATGGGAAAACGCTCTAAGTTGTCAATTTGAAAGCCAAAACATTTCAATTCAGATAAACTAAAACTATGCTGATAAGTATACAGTTAAATATAAAATAGAGTTACAACTCTACCAAAAATAGAACTGATTTACATAAGCTAACTTTCAGAAATATTTTTTCCCAGCTATAAAATATTCATATTTATGACAATAAATACAATCTTAGGAGATAACTCACCAAAATTCATTGCTAAAGTTATGCAAAGATTAATAAATTACTAAAAATATGATGCGAAATTTCCTTAACCCAGTTATCAAATTAAAATTTCTCAAACCTCATTATTCATCTGCAAACGTCTTTACAATAAAGGTGGAATAAATACTGGAACTGAAGATTCGTATCAAGTCACCTCTTCATGTAAATTTACAAACAATCGGAAAGTAGTTGCAGTGGAAATTTATATTAAAAGTTAAACTCTATTGGTAAAAGAATTAATGTATCGATTTGAAATTCTCCCCTCGAGGTCCTTCTATCTTTGATTATTAAGTATTTTGTCATCTTCATTTTTGCTTCCAATTTGCAACATTGTTAATTCAATTCCTTACCAGAGTCACTTATTGTAATCGCTTGCAAAGAATAATAAAATAGTACCGTATTAAAACACTAAAGTAGTGAACCAAAAATTTACAATTTAAAATTGAAAAAGAAAAATTTAAAAAGAAATTCAGAATAGAATTTGAATCCGGAATTTAAAATCAGTTATCTAACTCACTACCTTAATCATTTTATTTGTGATTATTTATTTGACTATTCTATTCATAATACTGGTATACTCTGCAATGAGATCTTTTTATCATCTCATCAACCTCTATAAAGTCTAACATAATACTCGATTGGTTTCTTCACACTGCAATCATTTTACTGCATCATTCCATCTGAACCATAAACTGATGATCTTCCTCACATATGTTTTCGAAGATTTTATTTTACCTATTACCGATCTTATTATACTTATAGATTTTTTTTACTGCATAAATAACTAACGCTTTGTAATAAAAGCAGTCACTAAAATTTTGGAAAGAGAAACTTTGAAGCAATAAATTTAAATATTAACCTTGTCCAATAAGTTTTTTATTAGCATAGATTCCAGCAATAAATACTGGTTCAGCACTAATTTCACCGGCAGAACGCAACAAACGGGGTTCTATTTCCATACCACTTCTGGAAGACATAAAACACCGAAGTACTGCAAGTGGTTCCGCTAATGGGAACACCTCCTCGATATCCAAATCAACCAGTTGTGCCATAACTACATTTCGGATTAAAGCAATGGCTCTGTAATTTCTTTCAATCAATTCATAGCAATAATCTTTATTCTGCAGATAACAAGTATCTTATATACTTAAAGATTTCATTCGTTATCAAATGAAGACTACTGAGTTATAAATACCATGGTAGGATGTCTTCTGATATTAATAAAATCGTCATATCTTCAAATGTTTAAAAAACTCCCTAATACTTTTATCACTTTCTTAAAAATCTCAACATTTTGGACCTCATTACTAAATTTTGCTTATGGTTAAAAAATCTAAAAATACGGTTTTACGGTTAATATCACTAACGGATGAAAGTTTGTCCATCTTCTTTCTAAATAAAATTTACAAAACGGCCATCACGTATCATATTTTAAAGCACAGAGTTTACCTTTCATATGGTAATGCTGCGATAAGAGCTTTAAAAGCATTACATAAAGAAACGTTCGACGGTGGGAATTCGGCAGTACGGATCAAATTATTGATACCCAAATAAGTAGCCAAATTAGCGATCTGTTCATCAGCAGTTAGTTTCAAAGCTAAACTAATGATGAGTTCCTCTGGAGCATTAAGCAGGCCGTATCGCAAGTATGCACAGGTACTCTTCCATAAAAGTTCATTCCCTGTAGTTTATTGTTTATCATATTCAACTGAACAGTAATCTAGGTTCACAATAATAAGCATAATTTATGAGAGAATAAAGAAAATTTTCAAGTTATATGATCAAAGCAATTGTTTGATGCGCATTAACAAATCCAATTATTTAATAGCTATCCAATTTTCCTCTACTCATATAGCAGTTAAACACTATTCCTCAATCATTTTTGGATAGCAACGGATAATTTTTAAATTTTTTTTTTTGAAAAATTTTCTAAACTTTCATTTCGTTCATTCTGAATTTTACAATATTTACAGAAACAAAGCAATGCTAACCAAGTTGAATAAGTTGTTTGTTATGCTCCTTTATTTCATAACTTTCTTGTTTGCTCGGCTGAGCATTCGATGATTCCTCCGCTATATCAGCTCGTTGGTAGAAGGAACTATCGGTTAGTGCTCGTATTAGCACATCCTTATCCGTTTCTGGAGCATCAATTCGATGGCCAAATGCATAAATTTCAGAATCGTAATTCCTTTAATTAAAATGATCTTTGTGGTTCAAAAACCTTCCTTAACCTTTTTCTGTCTTTATTTTTCCCCTAAATCCTTCAAGTGAAAGGAACAAAAATTCAAAAAATGAGTAATGAGACAAAAAAAAAGAGTATTTGTAAACAATGAGATATATCTAAAGACCTTAATAAGCTAGACTTAATAAGCTAAAACACTGTGTGTGAATGAAAAAGGTATAAATGACAGGATGCAATGCTAAGGGTCAGCATCATACCAATTAGGATATGCAGATCGACTTAATAAAGGTTCAGCTCCAGCTAACATTCGTCGATGATATAAATCTTTTAAATATGGCCTTTCCCATCTTGCTCGGATAAATCGACCTTTAAATGTCATATGCCAATACAATTAACAGTTTAAATATGCTTTGCTTATTTCTTAATAATTATTTGAGCAATACTTATGAATTAGAATTTTCTAGAGATTTTTCTATCACTTCACAATCCCTAATATCTTTTTTTTTTTATCTTAAATGAATAGCTATCAATTTATAGTACAAATAAAATATGAAATAAAATTTGATGAGAATTATTTATTGTTTCAGATATAAACTTCAACAACATCATATCGGTGACCTTTACATATAGCTTATATTATTACATTTGAAACTACTACATTCACGAACTTTAAAAACTTCTAAATTTTATTAATTTGCATTAATCTTATAAAAAAGTCTTAATAAAGTGAAATGTAACATTAAAATTAAATCTAACAGATGAAATTTGAATTGGAAAAAATTTAAACAGGAAAAACTTACAAAATATTGATAACACTGGCCTTTTTGTAACAGATAACAATGATGATATTAGTGATATCATAAATGATAAAAGCCTAGCTGCAAGCGCTCTTCCATTAATTTAATATCATTGGCATCACCAAACGAAACAGCTGAATGCCGTAAAATTTATTAAATTAAGGCAGCGGATAACCCGGGAAAGAGGGAATTTATATAGATTCAAAAATTAGTTATACCGTGGATAGCTTGAGAACGAGTGGAATGATGGAGTGCCGACGATTGTTAGATAATTTCATAGGTAATGAGAGGATCTACTGCTGTTGAAACTCTTACTATTACTATGATAGCATAATTTGAAGTAATTATTGAAATATAATTGAAGATTGAAATGTATAGCTGTACAAGCTCGCATGACTCTTTTGTTTTTTGTCACAAATTTTACAGGAAAATGTATCGGTTAGGCGTGCTTTACAATGATTTCAACAAAAGACATTATCAGTTCAAATGATGCGTATATCAGAAAGGATTAATTTATTATTATTTTGTTTCTTTTATTTCTTATTTTTTAAGCAAAACGAAATTTCTGAAATAGATTCAGTGTATGAAGGAAAAAAGTAATGTAATACATATATTTATTTACTGTTTAATTCATTTTGCATCAAATTTGATTGTTCCATTATTTAATTTTTGTGGAATGACATTGATATTTGTCCCTTTTTTCTATTTTACTTTTTATTATTGCTAACATTTTCCACATATTTGATATAAATGAAAAATGGTATAAAAGCAAATCGTTTACATTATGATTTGCTTCTATAAGATTTTAGTTATTTAGTTATTTACGACAACTTATGTCCCAGTACTGGAAGTATACAATTTGCAATATAATGCATCACATTTCAATAATGTCGAATGTATCGTAACCGTATATCATGTTCCGAATATGCCGGATCTGACGATATGTGACATTTCATAGAAATGTTGGTTCTGTCGTCATATGTGTCGCATCATTTCCTCTTACTCGAAAATTCTATTTGTGTTTTCGTGTAGTGCCGCATGATAAATCCAACGGTGTGATGCATCGCTTTATAAGAATACCAATCCATGATCTCCTAAGACAATTTCATCAAATCGAATCCTTTACTACAGCTGCCTTATGCAGTAATTGAAGCAGATACTAAAGTTATCACAAAACAATAAATTTTGATTTAAAATTGTTTTTCTGGTGTACAGCGATAATTCAGCCGTCAGCATAATAACAGAGACAATCACACTGAAACTATTTCGATTAGGTCAGAGGTCGTACATATATGAACTTCTGCCTATTGTAACCATGGTCATTCAAATACCATCTCTACGGTAGTAGGATTCTCTATCACTTCAGCAATTAGAGGAGATTCATTTGGTGTCAACTTTAAATGCATTGTATGGTCATTATAGCTTCAATGACAAGGAAAATAGTATATGAGAGAGTTTTACGATGTGGATTGTCGGTTTGGATAATGAAACAAGAGGAGGAGACAACCATTTTAAATTTCTATCCCGCTCGTACCCTCCAATAGACATCTATTTTCTTTTCTATATCTTTGAGGTTACAACGAAATCTTTATATGAGGTTTTCTCTACCAATACACCGTTCTCTTTCTTCAACATTTGCCGCTCTGTTTCTCCCTCAGAACCAAACCTCGAGGTTACTTTCACCTATATGTCGATTCATATATGTCATCATAGACATCATCGCAGAAAAGAAAGCAATATGTTGTTGCAAGTGTCTGAATGACAGCAAGGAAAAAAAAAATTGCATATGAAACGCCCTCATTCTGACCTTTACCTTTGAATCACACTCTAATATATCTATCATTTTGTTGACCTCTATATTTTACACACTTCATTGTTGCTGTCTTACTCCAGTCGAGACTGACCTCAATCGATATCTATTTGCGGATGTTGCAGCTCTTCACAAATCACTCATTTGAATATAGTAACAAATATGTGAAACTCTTTTATAAGATGGAAATTCATTCTCGAACTATTTGTAAAATAATGTTTTGTATTCAAATCATCTCAAAATGAAGAATATGAATGAAGAAATTTCTACAAATATTTGGTTATTCATAATGTGTAACTTACATGATACTTAGACCTTTCTTTGTAAAATAAATGAGAAAAAGCAAGATAGTTTATTGTATTTATGGTAATAATTATTCCTTTTTTTCTTTTCTTTCTATGTGAAAAAATTTTCGTGATTTAATTCAAGAAAACTTCAGGATGTAAAAATAATAATGAATATTTTAATGTCATAATCCCATTATGAACAATATTTCAGTGAGGTGTATCGATCATACCCATATTGACCCAGACAGTCAATTGTAATGAGTGATCCAGTAGCGACAGCAACATCATTCTATGAATTATTATTAGAATGACTTGACCCTGAATGGGTATTTTTGGTAAGTGATAGGTCATACAAATCATTACGAAATTTTTCTCAAAAAAAAAAAAAGAAAAGAGAAAAAAAGAAAAAAACAATGAAGCAGACATATTAACTTATAATTATGATACTTTATTTCCTTCTATCCTCTCATTAAATATATTTCTTCCGCTGATCTTTTTTTTTTTTCATTCTTTCTTTCTTTCTTATACAAAATCTCTTCATCAATTACTCTAATCCTCTCAAATAATTAGAGTAATAAATATAGTAAGAGTATAAAAAGCGCGGTGTAAATACTATTTGTTACAAAATTCGTTACTAAATATTTAAATACGAGAAATTTTGAAAATTTTAAAAGTAATACAAATATTTGTTATACAATTCGATTTTTTTTTTCTTTTTTGCATTATATTTGATAAGTTAAAGGTAAGGAAATAAAGGGAAATAAAAAATAAAATAAAATATTTTATTTCCTTACCATCTTCTATATATGTTTTTCATCTTATATAGTCTTTTTTTTTTTCTTTGAGCATTGAACTGATTCTATTGGAACGATAATCAATAATATAATTGGTACTGTCTCGATTTTCCATTCATCTCTTTCGCATTTTGAATAAAGTCCGGTTTAAAGTAGACATATTTATCAGTCATTTCTTCCTTTTGTCTTTTCCGATTGATCTATTAATAGTGAACTATGTTATGGTATGTATAGTTGGTTCTATTAGAAGAAAGTATGTGGCGCCACAAAATTGTAAGGAAGAAATGAGCAGTTGTTCATTTGTGTTCTCATTTCTAATACTTATTATGTTATTTGATAGATAGTAGAAAAAATATGAATATTTTAGCTTTTCTTTTCTAGATAAAGTTTACTTCATACTGTATAACTTACTACTATATTCTGCAGTATGACTAAAGGAGTGAAATAGCAAAAGAGAGAGAGAAGAAAGAAAGTGAAGTAAACCTCAGTAAAGTGTTGTTTTTGTATTTATGTTTCAAACTTATGATTAGATTGCTAGTTAAGCATTGCAGCTTTGTTATTAAAAGTTATTAGAAATGGGTAAATAAAAAGAACTAGCTGAGTGGCATGATTCAAAACTTCTGGTCATTATCGAACGGATTATAAATTTAACTTTTAATAACATAACTGCTAGATTTCGAGTGCCATTCAGACAGCTGGCACTAATTTGTTCGTTCATCAAAAATGCTAATAAATTTAATAGGAGATGAATTACGAATGAGGGTGTCGACAGCGTCGATAAAAGAGGGTTTTTGGATTGAAAAGGAGTAATACTGGTAGGTAGATAACAATCATTATAACCGATCAAAAGCTTTCCAAGGTCCTTTCTTCGTCCTTCATTTTTTTTTTCCTGCCAAGATCTTTTTCTATCATCTCCAGATTAGGAAGTTAAGTTCTAATATTCTCTATCATATTATCATTATAAGTTTTATTATCGATTTCTGATCCAAGGATTTTTCTTTTTTCTTCTTAATTTTGACATTATTAACATCATTTCTAAAATATAACATGACTTTATGATTAGTTTTCTTTTCATCAATGAATCGTTCGTTGTTATACGGAATCTCTCCCTCAATTTATAGCCAATTGATCTCTCCCTCAATTTATAGCCAATTGTTAATTTCTTTTATAACTATCACATTAGATGCCAAATAAGATAATGATATATATATATATGTATGCCATTTCCTTGCGTATAAAATTTTGGCATAGCTTTCTAATCTCTTATTTTTTTCAAAGATAAAAGCTAAATAATTAGATGTATCATATATCTTTTTATAGGATTATTTGTATACATTGGAAGTAGAAACGCTTACTCGTCATATTTTTGACTGATTCAACTTTATAAATAATCAAGCAATAACTTTTGTAATAAAATTTCGAGCGATTTTTCAAGATTTTTAGGAACTAAATGAAAATGACAGTGATTGATTACTGCAGGAAACAATACATTCATTTGGAAAAAAAAAAAAAAATGAATGAATTCTTTTTTCAAACTTCTGTTTTGTAATTTTGCAAAATAATTTTTACAAATTATTTAAAAAGTTGTATAGATGATAATTATGACAAGAGAAGATATGCTTCACCAAATATCGAAATTGCAGTTCTGATTGGATAGAATGGATTAATTTCTATAATATCATTGTAACGAGGATCGATGCATAATCTTGTGCGGCGTATTAGCATCAGTATTACCCCTCAAAATTTCTCTTTATCTTAAAAATTGAAATTTTAGACAAAAAATTAGAAAATAAACCCTTTATTGTAACTTACACACTTATTACTACAAACTGAATAGATATTTTACTTCATTCATATTAATATAATAAAAAGGTTGGAAAATTGGTTTTAAATTGCTATTATTTAACTTCATCCTTTAGAAAAAAATTTAAAAGGCTTATGTTATTCTTGATTTATACGCTGCTATGCAACGTTCCTCTTTTTTTTTTTTTTTTTTTTTTTTTCCTTCAATTTCATATTTTGCTGAAGTTTATTTCAGGCTTTTTAGATTCCAGTGATTTGTCAAATTATTTTGTTTCGTTTCACGAATTCAAACAATTTTTTTTTTTGGTTGATGTGGTAAGTTATTAATTCAAATTTGGAATTGTGTTAAGTTAATGAAGTTAATGATCCGTTCTTGCTGATCAGAAAGTGAAAGTGCTCAGTGCAAATTTGGAATTATTTCCTGGTTTATGTTGAAAAATAACATGAAAGCACTGAGTAAAGCACTTTCTAGAAAATCTAATCAAATTTCTAGAGAAATCAGCTTGTCAACTCCTCATGTTTTAAATATATAAATTTAGATAGGAGTCTGTTTTCATAATGACCTGTAATTTAAATTTGAAAATGTGTTATTGTTAAAATTGATGCCTTTATATTGAGCAAGCATCTATGGGAAATTAATCCGTAATTTTTCACCAAATGCAACTGTATAGTGTATTCTGTGACCTTAGCAGATTTATGAGTCTGCTAAATCTATTTCATAAATTCTGTTGTTATGAGTGCTTAGTTGAAGAAATAAATTCAAAATGGACTAGTCTATGTTACTTTTCTTTAGATGCTATATAATGAATGGTGCCTCAGATGAGAATGCCGAAAATAGGTTCGGAGAAGAAAATGAAGAAAATGAACAGTTTTTGCGGCGGAAAGGACAACGGAAGTCCCGTCCGCATGCTCTTGCTTATCGTAATACAAATATTAGTGGATCAGTTAGTAAGAAATATGAAGAGAAGGGAGTTTATATATCGATTATTGAGAAATCTCTGCTGTTGGACAAGAAGAGGAGACGCGAAAGTTTCCAAGTGCTTTTTATATTTCTGTGTGTATGTAGTTGGTAATGTGAGCTTAAAGATGATCGTCAAATGAATCGTAGACTGTGTAACAAAAATTAAAAACTTGATTTTTTTAATTTTTTCAAATTCTATTGGTCTCTTAATTTGGGTAGCCTGAGCATGACTTCTGCTGACTCCACCATTATCGATTGCTATATTTATACGAGCTGGAGATCTCAGTCGATAACTGTTGCAAGTAGTCGGATTTAAATTGATATATAGGATATAATTTACGCAATTTTGGCAACAAATATTTATTTTTACTCATTTAACTTTGGTACACTTTCTAGCAAAGAAATCAAGAACCTCCGACAAGAAGTCGATGGCTTCCAACGGGAATATCTGCCTTTACTGTTTTTTGTGATGAAGATAATGGTCAAGAGGTTGGCAGCTCGAAAGATCCTGAGGTTTTATTTTACTTTCTTTTATATTTGAGGACGTTGGTTATCAAAAACATATATCATCCACTAATTGTTTTGAATGGTTTTCCTTTGTTAACAGTTGAATCTCTATACAATTTCTGTCTGGATGAAGAAAAATTATTTTACTTGAAAATTGCAGTATTAGAGTATGAGATGAGGATTAACATTATCAAATGACAATCGATATAATTTAAACTATAAACTAAATGAAAATACTGGTTAATTGATAATAAGTGTTGCTCAGAACATTTTTGGGACCGAAATGAAAGAGTTTGATATTGACTGGAATGTGTTATTAATGAGCACCAAAATTTTTCTAAATAAAGCATGATAAAACACACTGAAAACTTAATTACGATTCAGTATAATGACATTCTCTGATACCAAGTTTGCTTCTTTTAATTGCAGGAATTCAAGGCTTTTTTTTATCCCCATTGTGGGCATCGAAATTCTATCATTCTTAAATGTAGCTCGTAAAGCACTGAAATATTAAATGAAGTTCAATATTTTAAGATGTAATATATGCTTATGCGCTACATGTTCTGTTATTGACTATTTAAAAATTCAGATATAGCAGTTTTTAGGAGCGCAGCCTTTATCATTGAGAATTTTAATGCAGTGGTAGTGGCTAACCATTGCTATGTTATAATTTTAGTAAATAATTTATTTTTGTAAAAGTTGTAATGCGTTTAAAGTAACCACCGGATGTTCGTTTACTTAGGAATGCACATATATATGTTTGCAGAAGAATGATCAACAGCAAGGAGAAGGAAGCAAAAGAAGTGGAGAGATGTCGACGCAATATTTGCAAATACCAAGAAAGATTAGACGCCCCCTTGCAACTTTATCACCGAATCGTGACGATTCGGATTCGGAGAGTAACAGACCTCTTGCTCGAAATTTGTCACCAAATCATGAGGAATCAGATTTGGAGAGTAGCACACCATCTGATGCCAATCTTCAAACCGATGAGGTGAAACTTCCCGTTATAAAAAACATTTTTACTACTTTGTTGCATTCAGGAAAGAAATTCTCAACTCGAAATCATTTTAGAGATAGATTTTATGAATTCATTTATGACAAAATTCGATACAAATATTTATGAATTACTATTGTTATTATTTATCGAAACTAACAGTAGTAGTACTGCTTTCAAAAATGAACAAAACTGTTTAGCATATCTGAAAATGGTAAACTGAATAAAAACCAGTGTTATTAAAAAGTTTTCAGTCATAACATTTGTTAGAAAATGGTTAAGGCAGACTTAAACAATGGCTAGGTTCCATATTTGATGGGATACTTCTTTCACATATCATAAAAATAATGGTATTAACCGTGATGACAGGCAGAACTGCTAACTCTAAGTGCAACATTTCAATTTAATTTTGTAGTGGAGTGAATTTCTGAACTGAATTCATTATCATTTTTTCAGGGTGAAGATAGTTATCATTCAAGGAATAGTACTACTTCGATTGATAGCAGCGACATTTCTGCTAACGAACTACGTCCTGATGATGAAGTGGTATTTGTTGTTGATTCAGTTTCAAATAATGTCCGAAGAGCGTTTAAGAGTGTTCCAGATATTTCTAGCCAAGCAGCAACTACAAGTAGCAGTATAATATATACTACAGTAAGTACCATTTCATAATAAAGTTGTCTTGAACTCTATATGTACCAAATAAATACGCAGAATGAGCTAATCAGTTAAGTAATTTTGCTGCTGGAAAAGTAATAGGAACAAATCCATAAAATTTGAGGTAGAATTCCCCATTCCATGTTTTATTGATAAAACTAGACCACTTCAATCTTATCACCTTTGATATACAGCTATGATAATAATAAACTGAAGTGAAAAGAATGCATTTCGGTTTATTTTACTAATATTCTCAAAGCAAAATCGCTTTTCCTAGGAAAGAAGAGAAAAAAGAATGAGATTAATATGGTCAATTTCAGGAAGAGCATGAGGATCGAGTGCGGACGGATCCAGTGTATGATGCGGATATCTATCTTTATATGAGATATAGGGAATTAAAACTTTGTCCTTCTGGAGATTTTTTAGAATTTCAAGAAGAAATATGTGGTGAAGTGAGATATCTTCTTGTCGAATGGATTTGTGATTCAGCTCGAGAATTTAATTTAAGCACGGTATACTTCATATTTTATAAATGCCTGTTTACTTTTCAAATTTTGCTTTAATTTCGCTTACTTACTGCTGATTTCAAAATGTGGAGGGCATGACAGTTCCTTTTTTCGGAATTTTGGTCCATACTAGAAATATTGTCGGGTTTATTCAAGATAATTTCGTCGAGCATGAATAATTTGAATGTATTGTCCAAATAATTTGAATCGATCTTGATTTCAGGAATCCTTGCATATGGCAGTTTCAATTGTCGATCGAGTCTTAAATACACTTCAGTGTCCACGTGAGAAGTTGCAATTACTTGGTGCTGCAGCTCTGTTGCTAGCAGCAAAATTTGAGGAGATCTATCCACCAGAAGTGAAAGAATTCGCTAGAATCACTGCTTACACATTTCACGAAACAGAGGTATACTTTGCAAATACATTGTTTGAGATATTAGGACCTAATTAAACACTATTTCATGGTATCCGCCTACGATGTCTTGGTTTTATTATGTATTTCTTTCTTTACTTTTAAATGGGTTGAAGTGCTGTTAAAAGTCTTTCACTGTCTGTTTCTTGACATGAATAAATGCTTCAGGTTGGGTATAGCCTCAGTTCGTTCCGCTCAGACTGTTTTCTTTTTTTGGTTTCTCGGTTTTCTATTTCATTGACCAAACCATAAAGAAATATGAATTATATCGGTGAACAACTATCTCCAAATTAGTATTTGTTCTAACTTCTATTGCATTATGCATCTTTTTTCTTGTTTTCTTATCTTTATATTTTATATCTAAGTTTATCTATCTTCATCTTTCAAGCAAAGGTCATACTTTCAATAAGCTGAGCAATATATAAATCGATCTAAGAAGTACCATTTCAGATTATAAGAATGGAACGAATAGTTTTTGCAAGAGTAGAATATCAGCTGTTAGCACCTACGTCATGGTGGTTTGCTTCACGGCTGGTACGTATGGCTCATGTTCCAAGAATAATTTATTGTATGATGAGGTATCTGTTGGAACTTGCCCTTCTAGATCATACATTTCTGGATTTTCGGCCAAGTGTTATCGGGGCAGCATCATTCTTTCTCAGTAATGTGATCTTCAAATCTGATTACCTGCTTTTGACTACAGAAACAGGTTGATTTTACTGATTTATTGGCTCGTTAACTGTAGTAACTATTAATTTCTTTTTGTTTTTTTCTTTTTTGTGAAGAACAAAACCTATATTTTTTAATATGCGCTATCACCTTATTATTATTCCGAATAAATGCTTCAAGGATAGGATAGAGAATAGCTCTATCCTGGGAACAAAATGAATAAGTTTGGTAACACATTTTGTTACATTGATTGTAACTGAGAATGAACTCAGTGACTTATCCATTACGACCCATATTGTCTTATTTGTCCCACAGATGCTTATTTTATAAGATCAGATATCGGATCTCTAATATTGATAGAAGGTTCCTAAATTTCTTGGCATTGTCATCTTAATTTTCAGATATTGGCGTTAATGAACTTCGCTCACCTGCCCGAAAAATGCTTGAACTCTTCCATGAAGTCCCGAACAAAGATTACTGTAGCGTTTTTGAGAAATATGCAACGGAAAAGTACGAGCAGGTCTCTTGTTTATTACTCCCAGATAATTTTTCGGAATTAGATGTCACCCGTTAACATGCTATTTTTCCCATTGTAAGCTCTTGCTGATATTCTGTTTGCTGTTGCATCAAAATTTTGCAGTAGTTATTAATTCAAGTTCATGAGATATCGTTTTCGGTTGTCTGGTTAATCAGTGTAGTAAGGCTGACGGCAATTGATCAGAAAATTCTTTCGTAAAAAAGGCCCGAATTTCTCTCTCTCTCTCTCTTGTTCAGTCTGTTAGGCAGAGGTAATTGTAAGATACTCCTAACAGCAACGACAGTTATTGTTATTTCGTCAATATTAGTGTTGATAAAGCAAATTTCTTAGTTTAATCTGATTGTTCTAAGCTCTCATCATTTCTTACTTTTTTTTTTCTTTGTGTAAAATCTTTATTATCAAAGATGTAGATATTAATTCCATTATCTTAACTGAAATTATTCACAGAAATGAATCCGATGTCAACATTTTTCTCTTATTATTAATACAGTTAACCTGCTTAGACCCACACCACTTTTAAATTTCCCTTCAACAGTAACTCAGTCATACACGGACACTTGTAACCGCATAGATATCATTGGAACAGCAGCATTTTTTAGTTGAAGTTAGTGTTTGCAGTTCAGTATTAACAGTTTACTGAAAGAACTCTTAAAATAATTCGGTACTGCTTCACAACAAATACTTCTGACATAGTCAGGAATTCAGCAAATTAGTGCTTTTTAAATGCTAATCATTTGAAAAAAAAAAAAAAATTCCAGTGAAATTAAAAATAAATTTAACGATGGTTGCTATTACTTTTCTTTCTTTTAGGAAATGAGTTCAATTATTGTCTTATTGTGTTGCACTTTATTTGAAACATAGGTAATAAGGGGAAGTTGGCAAACCGCATTTCATTGCTTGTAAGTTTTGCACAGATTTCTTCTTTGCTTATAGATTTTTCCTCAGCTTTACAGATCTATCCTTGTTTACAATCCTAGCACTCATTACTTTTCAGGTCAAGTAAGCTGCATTCCTGTGATAAATAGGTAGGTTTTTCAATTTTTAGAGACGAGTGTTTTACGCCTAAGCAGCATGTTCATTGAATGGAACGTGCGTATTAGAGTTAACACTCAAGGCACTTTTAAAGTGCTCTGAATACTGTGTTAAGTTTTACTTAATTTTATCTAGAATAGCTCAAAAGATGTATCATTCATGTATCAAAAGCTGAGCAAAAATCACGGATATGGGGTAAGAGTCAGTTCAACCTTCAACATTTTTTTTTCGTCCAGTTTATTGTCGTTGTAAAATGCAGTCATCAAATGTATTTATCTTTAAGAAAAATTTACAAACATTCCTTATAATTCATAATGTCTGTTTTCTCTACAATTTATTCGATTTAGTTGATGTTTATATATTCACTGCAGTACCCAATTTTCGATGTCATATTGATTTTCTAAGACTATTGTTTTGCGATTGATAAAAATGTTTTATTTCTGTTTAAATGGAATTAAGATAGCAAGAAGGCCAATTATAGCGGCCCAGTTTAGTGACATGTAATGAATTTAAAAAATTTCTGATTCTAATCTTCAATCAAATATCCACAATCAAAAATGTCCAAGCGAAACTTACGGCATAGGATTTTAGTTGAAAAAATACCTTATTTTTTGCATAATGCTGACATCAGTATGTTAGATAAATTTCGGAAATCTTCGATATATTACTTTACAGTAGTAATATAACAACAAAAAGCTCACTGGTAGAACACAAGAATCATAAAATGGCCGACTTTGGAAATAATCCCACCGGGAAGGATTTCGTATTACTCATATTCAGCAACAGTTTTCCTTTCAACCAATTACCATCAATCTGCAAATAAAATACGGAAAACTTCCAGAAGTGTTGCTGAAAGTTGGAAGATAAGTTGATAATGCAAAAAGAACCAATTTAAGCAAAATTAGAGGTTGAATCTGAAGTGGATTTGTGAGACCGTGCAATTCTCGGCGAAGTGTATTACAATACCCCCGTCTCTCTCCCTATCTCGAGACTTTACTAGGCCCAAGGCGGTTGTTGCTTATTAGTGAAAAGTCTAGTTATTCCACATATTCCTATAATTTCGATTCTAACAATTTCAGTGTGATCCTAGTAACACTTAAAATTTCGTTTGCCAATCGGAATTTTCTCAATCTGAAGGAACTAAAGAAATTTTGGATCAATAAACTAACCTCCTCAATCACTTCGATTTGATCTCCCTTCGAGAAGCATAAATGGTCTTTTGCATTATTATAATAATCATTCGTTGCAGTGACAATTGTATTCGTAATATTTAAATGTTTTCCAGCATCAATTTTGCTGCTACAGTTTTCAATATAAGTGCGTGGTACCAAGCCAATTTTCCCATTCAGCTTACCTCTCAACCAATCTTCGTTTACCCATTCTAGTACTTCTATCTGATCGCCTATAAAATATAGCATAATTAGAGATTTTTACTACTAATGACAATGGTATAGCAAAGTTTTAGAAGACTTATTGCAATATTATGAATATGAAATGAATTCTAAAATCTATTTACTATCAACAACTTACGATGAACTTTAAAGAGATCTTTCCAAATATTAACTATTGCTATGATAACAAAAAGAACTGGATTGTAATAAAAAATCAACACGCTTCATTTACCTGCTTTAAAAATTAGATCACCTTCAACGTCACTGTTGTAATCATATAAAGCACTGATATATTCCGCTGATGTATAACAACTTATGGGTTCAGAAGGTGCTGTTAACGGAACGGTAATTTCCCGAACATAATTAGCAGGAAAGATACCTTGGTGTACACCAATCTTACCACATAACCAATCGTCATTAATCTTTTCCACAACATAAATTTCATCATTTGCTCGGAACTAGAAGAATTTGTAGATATAAACAATTTCATTGGACTTATTAATGGAAACCACTAATGATTAAGACTTAATCATAAATGTTGGAACGAATCTGTTAAAATTCTAATCAACATGGATTACCGTAAGATCTCCTGATACGCTACTATCAAAATCGTATAAAGCAACCACACGATATGGTCTGAAAAATTTTATAAATTATCAATATTATCAATACGTTATAAAAAAACCACTTGAATAAAAGCTTTTTATCAGCCTCCTTACTAATCTATCGATGTTTGATAACTCCTTTAATGTTTCCTTTCACTGTCATATAAAATCTGCCGGGTATCAAATCTTTAAATGATTTATTTATTTTAGCATTTGAAACTAATCCTAACTGAAGAAAGCGAATGCCATTTTATATTACAATATTATACATCAACATCAGCAACATCAAATACCAGTACGAAATAACATAATAATTCTAACAACATAATTTATAAAAAAAAGAAAAAAATAAAGCTCTTCTTAGTTTTGTTTCCAAAAGTTCAAACTTGATAAATGACATAGCTAATAATGAATATATCCTCGCTCTTTGGATGAGTAACAAAATCGCAGAATGGTAAAATATATATATATATATAAAACTTACATTTGAGAAGTCGACGAGGTTAATGATGTGGGAAGAGGAATTTTTACATCAATGTACAAAAGTGGCATAATTCCTTTTTGACCAGTTCTTTTATTGAGCGCATAGACCCACTGATCATCTACCTGACATCAACTTAAAAAATTCCTCTAAGAAAACATTTTTTCAAGACATATGGACTGAGGAAAACTTTTAAAATCCTTCCCAATTTCTAAAAATAATGAGAAATTTTTTAAAACCCTTTTTTCCAAAATAATCATATCCGATGGTTCTGCAGAAAGTTCATCAAAATGTGACGCAAGGAATTGAAATTTTGCATAGCCATACGGCTGCTGTTCTTGATTCGTTGTCATAAATGCATTCGCTTCTGAAACTGTACTATCATGTAATCTCGAAAATTCGACTCCAATGCAGTTTTTTTCAATTAGATTTTTTCTTTCTTTTCTTGCAAGAATAAAATAATCAGAAGTTAGAACGTCTTCAATAAATTTTAAGACCAAAAAATAGTAATCCCAGGAATTACTAATAAAGTTTGGTACTTGGGCTCTGAAATCAGTCAGGCCTTTAGGATAAAGCTCAAGAAAAAAATTTCACTTGATTGTTATTAATGCAATGCCGTCAACCTGATTGTTACATTATTCAACGTTCTAGCTTTAATATTAATAATTGGAAATTGAGAGTTTAAAAATATTTCAAATGTGAAATTACCCGAAGCGAAATTAGATTGAAAGATATCGTATGAAATTGACTGACTAGGCATGACTGCAAATTTATCAACAGTTTTAGAATTAATATCAGATGCATAATCTTGCGATGGAGGAAGTGAAGGATATATTGATGTCGGCGCTTTGTTTACAATGGAGTTGGAAGTCCCAGCATGGTTGACAAATTTATCAGCTGGTATACTATGTTTTTTTACAAGACGTTTCTGTTGTTGTTGCTTGTCACAGGCCTGAGCAATATCATATGCTGTTTTCAAAGTCTTTTCATCTTGTAGAGCATTCAGGGTAACTTTACGTACCTGAAAAACGAAACATGAAATTTAACCAAATCTGTCTACTTTCTGAATTAGCGAAACACTAATTCGGTTATTTACTGTAGTAAGTGTTACTGAAGAACCACAGAATTACTGCATCAAAAAATACGGAAAAATCAAAAAGCTAACGGGGAAAGAATTTTAAGTTCAGAAATTCATATCTAATAAGCTTTACAATAGTTGATAGTGAAAACCTTAAAAAATTTTTTTTTTAAAAAAAAAAAGTTCCTTTCTCAGAACATTCAGTAAATGGAAAGAATTCAGTAGTTTTACAAAAAGAAAAATTTTTATCAAACAACGAAAATGATTTATTTTCTAACATGCTTATTTTGTATTGCCTGCATATTTAATTACTTGAATATTTAATTCGTGAATTATTTACCAAAATGCTGATTTTATCAAGTAAAATACCTACAGCTTCGTTTTTAGCAAGAGATGAAATTGCTGATCGAACAGTTTCATTTTTACTTGCTGCAATCAACCTCTGTTGTACTTCCGGTTTTTTCACGACATCAAAGACAGCTTTTGCAGTACTGAATGCAGTACTAAATTTACCAGTTCCAAAGGTTCCTAAAAATTTCATTTATTATTTATTATATCCGAATAAAAAGCAAACAAATTAAGAGCGCATAAATTTAAAACTTCAATGTCATATTAAAAGTACATTTAAAAAAAAATAAAAAAGATGTAACAGCAATGATTTTTTTTTTTTCAAATGAAAAATTGAATAGAATTAGTATTGCCTCAACTAATTAAAAGATATCACTGAGTTCTTATCAAATATTGGAAAAATATTGGCTCAGCTCCGTTTCATAATCTTACAAATAATTATATTTTCTCTCCTTCCAATCGTTAAGGAAGAAAAACTTTTATAAAAATGATTTTAAAAAAAAAAAGCTTTTGGAAGAGTAAAACATACGGATGAATTCTTTCGGTGTTTCCTAAGCTTCTTAGAAAGCTTATTTTCACTTCTTGTCAAGAACATATCAAAGATGAAAGCGAAAATTTTGCATTTTGAAGATGAAGCACCAAAATCAAATTCATTTTATATAATTTCAACACCTTCAGCCATACTACTACAAAATTCCTTTCTTCGTTATTTACCTTCTTTAATCAAAGTAATCTGTTTTAATATACCTAGTTATCAGGAATTCAAAACAAAACCAATTAATGTGAAATTAAAATCACCATTTATTATTTTAAATCATGAAGCTACAAAAAAAAAAAAAAAAGACATATTGTGCTGCAAGTACTAATAACAACAAATACTTTCACAATTATAGCAGCAATTAGTGTGACTCATTCATTTCAGCCTTGAGTTAACTCATTTTTTTCTATATTTTGCATCAGTAATTCATCAATAATTTACAAAAACAATAACAATTACTTTTTCGAAACAAAATCTATTATTTTTTAGCTTCCATTTTCCTAATAAATATGAACTACTACGAAATAAAACGACCCGTTGAATGAAAAGGAATTGAAAGTTTTTATCTATGTAAGCAAAACTGCAACAATATTCCTAAGTATGCGACCAAAAACAATTCCAGAAAAAAATCACTCATGCATCGGATCATCGTCATGTATCGAGGGCATTTTCGGTGAACGCAAGAACGGATTCCCATCTAATCCAGTATCTTCTTGTAACTTGGTTCTTATCCCAGTTACTAATTCATTTTGCAAATCAAATAAAAGAGGATCTAAGTATGACTCATTTGTTGCTTTTGGTTCAATAATTTCTCCAAAAGTCGGCACTTCAGCTTGCAGCAGACCTATTTCTTCTTCGCTGTCTTCCTCAAAGAAAAATTTTTCGGAAATATCAACAGGAAATTCCGGATCCGTAGTTTTTAATTGCTCAGCATCATGTGTTATTGTTGCTGCTCCATTCGTCATTGTTTTTTTTTCATCTTCTTCCACGGATGCCATCATTTGAGCTTGCTGTCGACGGATACGTTCTGCAGCAGCAGCAGCAATCTTTTTTAGAATACGCTGTTTATGAAGATCGAAGAGAGAAATAGACGGATGGGTACGTAGAACGAAATCTTTCAGTGACGTAACGGTATTTCGATACAACAAAGCCAAGCCTTCACGTGCTTTTTCGTATGAAGGTTCTGGCTCCCCAGATATATCAGTACGTACATAAGTATGTGGATCAGGAAAAGGAGGTAACCAATCCGGAATATGCGGTGGACGTGGACGTGAGCTACCGACACGAAGTTGCTGCTGGGGATGCGATGCTTGCTGTACACGTGGTGGTGCTATCACCAAAGAACCTTTAGAGGTTGCTTCTTTCAGAAATGCTGGCAAGCTAGAAACTGCAGTACCTAAATCTACTAATGCCATAATTGTATCTGATGGTGTTGAAATAGTACGACCAGCATGTTCGGTCATTTGACGTGTGGTAACGGCCAGTTCATTGATATATGAATTAATCATATGGGTGAGTAATTCGAGAACATCAGCTTCAATCGTTTCGAAACCGGCCTGTTTACAGATAGCAGCAACCGCTTGACGTAATACACGTCGATACACGTAATCAGCTACTGTTGGCGAATAACTTGTTGATGGCAGAGAATGCATTACTGTGGCTGCAAATTGCTTCGTCATTGCGTTGTGTGAAAAACAGACGCTATACGTGAACAAAAAAATAACAAGCATAAAATGACATTTAAAAAGTGCTTGAAAAGTACAAAAGATTTTTTATTAAATTAGAAACTTATTTTTAAGAAACGAAAGCAAAACAAAATTCTAGAACAAGAAACAACTAAACTCCAGAAAATAACGTATATCAGTATTCTAGAACAAAATACAGAATGTCTTCAGTACACAAACTTAATAATGCATAGGACACAAGAAATAAAACAAGCCGTTTTTTCGACATTTCCTAACAAATCTAAACCTGACCTGTATTCATCCAATTATCATTTAATAATGCGGTAAGATAGAAAGGTTTACGTACAATTCTTACAACTTTAAATTCAAAAAATCCGGAATTCAGGATGTACTCAAGTGTCGTAAAAGGGTTCGCTTCTTAACATGAAAAAAAATAAATAAAATAAAAAAGAAATATTCAAAAGAACATGATAAAATATAATACACGAACAAAGTACTGGAAACTCTATCCATCTATCCAGCTCCACCCTGCATATCAAGATATTTTTGAATGAGCCCATAGCCTCAACATCCTATATGTTTGCAAGCTCCAGCGTCAGCTGCCAGCAAAGGAAGTTCCAAAAGAAATCGAAATTAAAAGTACCTGACGGCGATTGAAGATGACTTGCTGTTGCTGGCGCTGAAGCTTCATTTGTATTACTCTTGTTCTTCCAGAATGATTTTTCAGGTAGAGGTGGCGGTGGCAAAGGCTTATTTGCTGGGAACATCCCTCTAAACATACGAAAAATAGTATGCTTTATACACAAAAGCTTTAAGTTATAAATAAACTCCACCGAACAAAATTAGTTACGAAACAGATTACTCCAATAAGAACTTACCTTCACTACTTTCTCCAATTTTTTTATAAGTAGGAAAAAACAGATTAAAGAAAAGGAAAGTGATAACGATCATAGGATTGAAGGTTGTTAGAATTTCAATTCTACAGAACCATAAGTTTCACCCTAGCAAAATCCCTGTATGATCATGTGCTGCATTATTACAAGTAAAGATATTTCCGCATAATTAATAACCATACGAATGTAATAACAATTGAAAATAAAAACGACAAGATAACCAACTGAGTATCAAAACTTTTAAATGCAATAAATCGATGGGATTCACACTATAAAAAAAGTTCTTTATTCACTGAAGATTTTAAAGTAAATATAAATTCATAAAACAGTTAAGACACGTATGAATCCACAAGAAATTTCCCGTTCGACAAGTTCTTGAATTTGTTATTCAGTTCTTTAAAATAACTTAGGTATTGGTCAAACAATTTCGTAACCTATCAAATTGTATCTTTTTAATGAATAGCACAGAGAATGACAAAAATGAAATAAAATATATAACATTATATAAAATGAGGTAAATAGGAGCAATTTCGAGGCAATTATTATGATGTGCAGACAGTGAATAATCAGTAAAAATAGTGAAAAATATCTTATCTAGAATACTTTTATTATTTTTATAATTCCAAATTTTAAAATTCAAAAAATTTCTCAGAGATATGAAAGAGTGCCAGTGGCATATTTATATGATTTTACAACATGCCTAATACGCTCCCGGAGATAATTAATAGTAAAAAGAATCTTGAAAATATAATCCCTCTCATAGAAGTAATCAACCAACCATCTTATTAGTTAACTAATAAACTGAACTCTTCAACACAGCAAAATCTTTTCTATATGAATCGATGTCAAAAATTATTTCTTACACCACAATAATTAGAAGGATATTTACAAGTATCAATAAACAGCTGAAAATCATTTGAGGCAGATATTTCACAAAAGCAATAACAGAAAAAAAAAAAATTACTATTTCACTAACTTAGAAATATTTTATTAAAAAAGTACTGAAGTAGATTTTATTACTAAAGTTTGCATTAAGTGAATAACCTCTCAAATGTACATCCAGATCTCATATTTCATAGCACTAGTCAAAAGCAACAACAAAACAGCACAAAAAAGAATGAAGATAATGCAGTAAAAAATTCATCCTAATAGTTTCATTAAAGAAAAAAAAAAAAAAAAAAAGATATTAGAGAGAAAAATGAAAATTTATCTTGAACATTATCTTAGCTTCACAAAAACATCTGCACAGTTGCACTTCGGTTGATATTTTCTAGTACAATTCAGAACTAGTTAAAAGAATTTCTAGCAATATTTGTAATAAAAATACGGAATAGTATTTAGAAACCCACATACGATCACTAACTTCAATTTACTTTGCCAATATGTAAAATAAAAACTATTTTCAGATAAGGAAAAATAACACTTTTAAGAAAAAATTACTGAGAGGTAGAGAAACAAATCAACTAATCAAATCAACTAAAACTATTAAAAAAGTTTTACCTTCCAGTTTCACAACGTATAAAATCGAATGAAAGTAGTGGTTTGCTATTTACATTCTACAATTAATTCACCTTTGTTCGAGGTATTATAATATCTGAAAGAAAGATATAATGAATAAAGCTAAAACTAAAAAATGAATAAATTGATATGAAGTCTTGTACCGCTATCTGTACAAGACATAAATGTGCATTACAAACGAATAAACTTGTAAACGAGTAACTGTGTCCATACATCCATAATAATAAATAATAATGCAACCATCCATAATTCAATCCTAGGATCACATTCAAATCTAAGTAACGGAACTAATCCCAAAAACAAATGTAAATTTTTCTTAACGAATTTTCAACGAACTACAAATCGATTAAAGAGCCAGAATTCTACAAAATAATGTAGATAAACTGAAAGGAAATAAATCCTTGAAACATACTCATAACCGCACTGCTCAAGCCACTGTATAACAGCTGGCTTAATTTTTGCTTGTCCGTCGCTCAATTTACCATAACCAGTCAAAACAACAAGTTTCTTCCGGGATCGCCCACGTCGAAATTCCGGAGGTCCTGGAAATTTTCACAGTATAGAAGAGTGAAAGCTGCAAGAAATGATTAATTACTAAATCACCGGAACTTCAAATTCTTATGCAGTGTGAATAACTTTTCAACTCGTTCTGTAATGAACTGTTTAAGAACTGAGAATTTCTTACGCCGAAAATTCATATATACAAGACTCACTCGGTTCATACATGCAAGCTTTTTTGATTCTGCGAAGAGACAAAAACATATGACTTCAAAATACATCCTGATTATGTTACTACTAGCAATCAGTGCCTATAACATTAAGAAATAATTGATGTCTAAACCTATAAAAGCATGTTTCTTTTAAGATATTACTGAAAAAGGGAAAATATGTAAATTTACTATCTGCAGCATTCAGCTTGGCTTTAAGAAGCTTAAGAGCCGATTGAACATTCATATAATGCAAATCGATGAACAAAGTGGATGTATTCGCTTTGATCAACCGTTCATTGAGTTCTGCCACACAATCTTTTGCTTTTTTTCCCAATTTCTGAGCCTGCAATTAAATGTGAATTAGGACGAAATTAAGAACTATTTTGCAACACATATATAAATCATTTATAGTTGTTTAACGATGAAGTGAGGAAGATGTATAGCAAGCTCCAGCAATACACACTAAAGTATTCTAGCAATCTTATACAAGTTCAGTTGCTGGAATTCTAAACGTTTCCCAAATCAATGTAAAGTAACTGGAGACAATTACTATCAGAACAGAACTGAGAAGAATTCAATATAGCTCGAAATTTCGATATGATCTCTAAGCCATTTGTAGTATCTAAGCCAGTGCGAGTATATGAACTATATCAATAGCACTTAAAGGTTTAAAAATGGTCACATAGCGTAAGCATAAGATTTCTTATGGCATTTCTACAAACCTTGAATTATTCCCATTCCTATTTACAATTTGCTCATTTAGAAAGTTTCGAAATTTCAATATAGCTACTTATCTACCTCGGCAAAATAATGCATCTTGGCTCCAAAATCTCGATGATTATTAGCTCGCAACAATAATTCATGCTTCTGTTTATCATACCACTCTGCTTGCTCTCGTAGTTCAAATGCCTCCTTGTGAGCTAACTCCAGATCCGGCTTCAAAACCTGCAAAGCAATTTGACCTGAATCTTTTAACAAACTAAAATTTTATACAAGAAAAGGATAATATTGGTGAATTTATTAGAACCTACCGATGATTCTTCATAGGAAGATGCTGCAGGCACACTACAATTACCAGACTGATTTGGACGGTATTCAATGCGAGACGGATTGGCTGGTACTGTTTGAATGTTTTCACTACCATTTACGAAGAGATCTAAAGTATTACGAGTAGCCTCTGCAGAAAACCTAAAATAAAAGCAATTATTCCAGTTCATTAAATCCAAAAAATTTCAAAGTTAGTAGTGCCTCTACATTAGGTTTAATCTAATCGAAATATTAACCAGTAAAAGAGACGAAAAATATAGCCAATGACGAAAGCACAGATAATAAGAATCTATTATTATATATTACTTGTTGTCACGGAAGCATTCTGCAATTCGTTCCCGATCAACTCCTGAATAATCTTTCATCAGTGCACTTAACTGCAGTCTTTCAGCAATACTCATATGTTTGCCATTTTCCTGAATTAAGAATAGGACTACTGAATATGATTACTGTTATACTAATATAACTGGTTTACAATTTTTTTTTCTCCAAAATTTTTAACTTGCATACATGCAAATTAGATTAAAAAATTGTAATGAAAAAAAATTTTTTTTTTGCAGGAGAATATGCATTTCTGTTTTTGAGCAACGTAAACTCAATCAGCCATGAGAAGATTTAGCTACTAACCAAAAATTCATCAGATGCCAATTCGTGACCTTGCAATATTCGCGCTAATTCTTCATCAGAACTAACCAGTGCAGAAAAATCGAAATTCTCACTTCCAAATGCATTATCTACTGCAACGGCAACTGTCACCAATTCAGATATAACAAACTAATTCAATATGATAATAGGAATTATGTAGGAATTAATTAGCGAGTTTCAGATTGTGGTTATTCAATCGACATTGCTGCAAAAACTTCAAAAAGCCAGTGATGAAGCTCAGCCGTAGTCAACAGTAAACACGAAATATAAAAAATAACGGCTTTCACGACACTATTTCTTAGTTATATTAGTTATAAAGCAAATCAAAACAAAGAAGGTGAATTAAGGAATTTTAATTCTGATTCAATCAGCATAAGCTCGTCTATGATGCAAAGCTACGGAAGTTAGTAAGTATAAAAGTTATAGGAAAATATTTTTAAATAGAACAAGTAGTGCTATGGAAACATGAAAGGTTCACGATTCCAAACAGAGAGTTCAATGTGAGATTTATCAACTTTCAGCATACGAATTCTGGACAACTTTCTATTCTTTGATGTTGTTCAAAAGTTATTATCAAGCATATGAAGTAATTTTTCTAATCCAGAAAACAATTACTCCAGTTAGAAAATATTCTCACGCCCTCAACTTCGTGTTTTGGGTAACTGTATTATTAAAAGTGTAAATCTTACTAATCAATTTCTCTAGATGAATATATTACATTTCTACGAGAGATTTGAAGTAATTCATATATAATAATCTATCTTTTCCCAACATATTATATATTCCTTGTACCGATGTAATATATTTTCTGTTCAAATCAATCAGACAAAAAGGTTTCACCTGTTACTAAGTTGTTAACGGCGGTGAATCCAAAAGAACAACAATAAAATAAAATAAACTCAAATTTGGTCAATGATAAGTAGAAAAATAAAGCAACATGTGAACACATAGTCTTCATCCTCAAAAAAAAAAAACCTTCTGTAGTTGTAGTTGAAATGCCTTGCCAGTGGAAATAAATTTGACGCCAAAGATAGATAGGTAAGTCCACATATGTTTTTAAAAAAGTATTGCTTTCAGCATCACCTTAAAATAGACCGTCATTTCAAAAAGAAAACAAAATTTCAAAATATAAGTCTCCAGTGTCGATTCTTTCGATTCACACAATTTATACTAATTAATTCAAATTGATTAGAAATTCAAATAACAAGATATCAAAGATAGACAATTTAAACCATCCAAGATTCGCATTCTCTATAAATATAGTTAAATTAAATAACAAATCTTCAAAAAAGTAACTAGCTCTGTGAGTTCTACATCTTAAATATTTTTAAAAAGAAAAAGAAAAAAAAAAACCAAAAAGTTGAGTGAGCTGCTCCATCATATCAACTGATATCTGCATTCGACAATATCCCGATGGTACAGGTTCTGGATCACAGCATTGCATGTAAGTGCAAGGAGCCAACTCTTCGGATATCGGTCTATTCAATTCGAAATTTGGTACAAACGCTGGCGAACTATTATTATCGATATTATTATCGACCTGCTCACATTCTGATTTGTCCCACCAGTAATATGTTTGCGATAATGATTCCGCATCAATATTTTTATTCTGAAATTTCGTGATTGAAAAAAAAAGAAAAAAAAAAAAACGAAGTTTGAAGAGCTATTGTGGAATTTATGGAATTATACAAAACAGTACACAGGACAAAAATTCGAATATTGAGAAAATGCTACTGTTATTGCTGCAACATATAAGACAGCTTAAACATACCACATATCAAATTTCAAAATATTTCGATGCATTTTCCAGGTTTGGAAAAGAATTACAAGAACAAAAATTATGTTTTCAGCATTAATTACCCTTTTCCATTGAAAAAAAATGCCCAAGACAAAAAGTTTTTCCGGAAAAAACGAAAATCTCTTGCAAATTTCATATACAACCATGCGAGAAACACACATTTAAATAAGAATTCCGTTATTGTAAGAATACGGATCATATTAATAATAATCATTAAGGAAATCATAACCTTGCCAACTGGAGTGCAAATATCCATGTGAGCGTTCATTTCTTTAAGTAACGTCATTGCATTTTTAAGTCCAGCTATCTCTAATATATGTGATAGATCGGAAGGTTTCTCATCCGGGAAAAACGCTATCAATAATTCGATATCAGATAGAATGTTGCCGTCACTGAAGAAAAAAAAAACATTGCAATCAACAAAAGGAATATGAATATCCAGCAGAATAGTCATTGATATTTAGAATCCACAAAATGGAGATAAAAATTATAATGCTTAATAGAAAATGTAAATGAGTAACAGGATTTTTACTGTGGGATGAAAAAAAAAAAAAAAAACAAAAACTAACCCAGCCTGAGTAGCTTTCACTTTCATTTTTTTTTTGTAACTAAAATCAGGAGCATCGCACACCGTTTCGCAAACAAATTCGTCGTTTACAGATGATGAAGGATTTGATAAATCAAGTACTCGAATTAAGTCACTAGTCTGACATCCAAATGTACGCAGATTCTTAGGTATCTGAAAACTGTCGATAAATAAAGAAAAGCCATTATCTAAATAAAAATAAGAAAAAAAAATGTGATTAAACTAATAGCTTTGAAATGACAAAACTCTAACAAATTCGAATGACGTTACATATTCATTAAAGAATTTTTTAATCACTTTACCAAATACAAGATTCTCCCTTTTGCCACTTCAAATCGTTGATACAATTTATCACACCCCTACGGTTTATAATTTTTGGAACGAATCACAGAAAAACAAAACCTGATGTGGAATTAAAGAAATTAATTGTTCGGAGCTTTTTTTGTTGTCAGTGGCATCTTTTCCCAAAAGGGAATCTGCAAAAAAAATTTTTAATAAATTTACTGCTTCATGCAGTGCAAACTGTGAAATAGCTGATGGAAAGGAAGCAGCTCTTTCGACTTGTTGCTTCTTAGCATGCAGTTTTCGTACATCTTTCGAATACTTTAATATACAACGATAAAAAGAATCAGACATTGCAGCAGACAACATAAAAGAACTATGACTATCTTATTTGATTCATTTCATATTTAGGCTTATAAGCAACTATACTCAACAAGTGCAAATGAATGGATCAGTGAAAGAAAATATAATTTCATAGATCAAAAAGACATCTTCTAAGCAAAAATAAAAATCAGAAAGTTTGGAAAAAAATGCGCATGCATAAGCAAAAAATGAAGAAAGAACATATGAAAATCATAAAAATTGAATAAATCAGCCAAATATAACTTATAAAAGAAATATTTTAATAGTAGCAGCAAACCTGATGCGTCTTATCTACCTAAAATGAATTAAAACGATAAAACAAAGATGGTTACCTGGTAGAGAATCTAGTTTCGATAACAATAAATTATAAGTATCATCTTCGTCGTTTATATCAACCAGTGGTGGTACTGTTCTACAAAAAATTTTTTTGATATCTAACATTTGACCATAATAAAAACATATGCTATAAAATTCACTTGTAAATTAGCTTCTATCTAAATTTTCTAGCTGGATCTGAATTTTACTGTTTTAGAAATAACAAAAGCTTAAACTTTATAAAATCTTCTAGAAAAATTCATCCCTCGTAATTAATATGGAAAATAATGCAGTTCGTTAAAATGCTTAATCATAAGATAATAAAAGCAATTAGCACTTCAAAAGTAATTTTGTTCTTATATGAAAATCCACAATCCCTATAATTCCGCCTCCAATATTTTGATTTACCTTAACTGCGTCGGTTTTATTACATCACTTAAACTGACTTTTTCGAAGCATTCAGCCATATACGCAATTTTCTCTTCTGGCACTGAGTGTGCATTACGCCTGCAGTTAAATCAAATCAAAATTTCGAAATAAAATGTTCTTTCCCACACAAATAATAAAAATAAGGAGATAAAACATAAATACTACCTAGCACATTCTTTTGCATTTTTTTTCCACTCTGTTTCCGGTTCTACGAAATAAATTTCATATAAATTCTTCACTGCCTGGAAACATTTTGCAAAATTTTTGTTACATTTCAATCAGTCACCACATTATTCATACTACCAAATTCCTTTCTTGTCTATCGCTGCATATTTAACCATTATATTCAAAGAATTTCTAAGCAAGGACTTAAGGCTTCAAAATATTCTGAAAGGTAAGATTTCAGCAGAATTCTATTCCTCATTTTCTTCGTTATTCTTTTTTTGTCAACCATGTTCAGCCTATTACTAATTTCTACCAAATGCATTCTTTCGTGCACTCAATCTACTCATATTCGCGATGTGTTTCTTTTTCTTTCTTATCAAAATATTTTTTAAGTTACGAATCCTAAACATAAATGTATAAAATTGCTATTCGAAATTTTAGTCAAAAACCAACAAGATTAATGTACGGCTTCATGTGTGTTACAAATATGTTCGTATTATCGATGATTATTGGCTTTATCCCTTGCTGTATTGCATCTTTTGCTGAAAAAAATACTCAATTATTCACATGATGTGATTTCAATGAAGACCTTTTTGAATTTTTCGGAGATTTTTCTGGTGTTTTCACTAAACCCATCTCTTTACCATAACATTAGTCGCCACAAGATTTGAAAGCATTCGTGGACTTCTTTGCTGCAATCGCAAATCAGTCAATTATCATTTAGTTAAACCACTTATTTTTGATTTTTCTAATTAAAGGTTTCATCAAAATTAGGCTAACTTTAATAAAGACAAATTCAAAAAAATATGCTATTCCCTTCTTCTTCCGACAACACTATCACTCTCTGAGATAATAGATGCAAACAAAAGCATTCATGTCATTAATCACTTCATATGCTCTAATTTTTGTAACTTTATTTTCAAATCTTCCATCTTTCATTGCTTACATGTTCATTCATATGTTCCCAATTATACATATATTCATGACTGTATGTACTTTTAAGACTATTCTCTCTTATTTGATAATATTAATTTTTATTTTTAGTCTTAGGATAATATTAAACTAAATTTAGTTTAGTTTAGAGTAAATTATTATTAAATTAAATTTTAATTTAGAGTAAACTATTAAATTAAATTAAACAACAGTACAAGTGGATTAAAGTATGCAAATGAAATTCGCCTTAGTGCATACCTTCCTTCCAATTTTTCTGATGATACTCATCCAATTTGGTGGGATCAAATTGATACACACCATTTTGCACGAAATACTTATCGGTATTAAAAACTGCACCATTTGTTCCAGATATTAAATCGCTGCAAGAGAAAAGAAAAAGCAAGCTATGCAAATTATCTTATTTAGTAACAATATGTAAAGCATGTTATAGCCTGTATCTAGATGGCAAAATAAAAAAAAAATTTACCAATCATAGAGAAAATAAATTAATTCACTATACTTGCACACATTGAATGAAATAAAATGAGTAGAATTAATTTTCATACTAGAAAAACCAATTTAACTATTTTTAACTATAGTATTAATTAATCCAAATTTAGCTAAGTGTAGTATGAACTAAATTATGTCTAGAATACATCAGCATAACCAAACAAATATATATGGAATAATATTATTGAAAAGTTGATACACAATAAATAAAATTAACTCTTACCTAGCTAAATAAGATTTGCCAGATCCTGGAATACCACGCATTATTACCATAATATGATGGCCATTTTGAATACATTTTCGGATATGTTCTAAATTTGTTGTTGGTTCCCAACATTGTTCGTGAATGCTCGGAGTAACCATTTTTAGACATCAGTAATATCTTTTAATTAATAGTAATAATAAAAAATCTAAAAATATGTGTTAAAAACAAAACAAACATTACTAAAACAATAATTATATCAATATTAATACAAAATAAAAAAAGAACCAATCAACCAACCCAATTTATAAACCAACAAAATACGCGTTATATCACAATACATTGGTTCGTTGCATTACTGTGGTAGTCGGTAGCAATAACTCTTTGTTTATTTTTCATTTTACATCTGGGAAGTAAATTACGTCTGAGAACTATCATATAGTTTAATTCAGTCTAATTTTACAATTTTGTTATGATTTCAAGTCTTAGAAGTTTATACTATTCATAATATAGAAGTTATAGCAGTTAAATGTAAAATTAGAATAAGAAAGTGTTTGGTAAATATGAAAAGATAATATATTGTATGTTAATTAATTGATTAAAATTTAAGTTGTAGAAATTTTAGCTAGCACTGTAAATAATGCTAGTGATATAAGAACATTTTATAAGAAAATCGCATGTGTTAAGTATACACTTTTGTTTTATGTTCATAGACTACTTTATAATTATATATTGCCTTTATAGAAACATACAAGATTTATGTGATAATAGATGACTTAATAATCATATATGCTTATGATAATATTACTGCAAATGAATCATTGAATGAGTTAACTGGAAAATATCGATAATGTTAAGGGATTAATTTTAGGAAGTTAACTAATCTGGAATTAACATTTATACAATTTACATGCTTCACAATGAATTTTATTGGCGATATGGAAAATTTTCCACCTCTAAATAATGTTGAAAATACGTATATGCGAAGGTTTTTCATTCAAATTCCTACTTAATTAGATTAATTCTCTTCGTAATTACCGACTTTATATTTATCATACTGATAATTGGATACTGTTTTAGAATCATCCGCTGGCCTGTTGATCTGAATCTTGTTAACCTTGACAATGATATTCTCTTTTAAGTTAAAATATTCCATTATACAGGTTCTATCTCCAAAAGCATGCTGAATTGGAACTTGAAATGCAAACTTTACAAGAGTTGCAACATATGGAATATATCAGTACAATACAGATGCTTGAAGAGCAATTTAAGACTGAACTGGAAGCCGAAGAAATTGCAGACCAGGTTTATTATGCTCATTTTGTTAAAAATTTTTGCCTTTGATTTGGGATTCATTTTTCCGACAACTATTTATAACATAATAACTAAAACCACTAATAATTGTTTCGGTATGAAAAACAGCTCATTTACTACAAATGATCATTTTGTCCCAACTCGCAATTCTTTTTTTTTTATATATGCATTACTTTACAGCGTTTTGAAATACATTAATTTTGCAATCGTGTCTTGAAAGTTAGAGTTTGTGTTGATACGCTTGGCATACAGTCATATCTCAGCAAGATCGTGGATTGAGATAGTGGATTGCAACTATACATTTTAGCAGTTCCCTTATTTGAACTGCTTGATATACCTTTTGCATCCTTTATTTAGTAAAAGTGATGGTTTAGCAGAAGTAGCGTCTTGCACTTTTGATTATGAATAGACTTTGCAATTTTTCTTTTTAGAGAAAATAATGCCTACAGTTTAGCTTAACATTATGCAAAGCAAACTAGACTAACTCATTATTATTATTCAATTCGTTAAAGGAAGAAGTAATCCTTAGTTGACATATATACATTTTTAATATTGTGTATGTTTCTAGCTCGAGAAGGAACGTATTGAAGAACAGTATGAACGAGAAAGAGAAGCAGCAGAAAAGGAACTCGAGGAACGGTTAACAGAACTTATGGAGGCTATGATTCAGGAATGTGAAGAACAAAAGAAAAAAATTGATCATGAATTTCATAATTCTGATATTTCTAGTGCACCTGCAAACGATTTTCCCAGTAAAAAAAGTCTTCGGAGGTGCAGCTTTTGTTTTTTATCAGCGAAATAGGAAGAATTCCTGCAGTGATTAAATAAGAAGAAAAATAGAGAGAAGCGTTGTAAGCATTTTCTACTCTTCCATATGTTATGTGTTATCGGAATAGGCGGGATTGATTTTCTTTACAATATAACTGATTTGTTTATTCTGGGAAGTGTTCCATTAAATTTAAATTAAATTTAACTTTTCATTCCAAATTTTTAGGCGTCCGAATGAGCCTACACCGTACAGTGAAAAGCATATGCATACTAAAACGCGTCCGAACATTGCAGATGCTCTTACCGATCAAGAGATTCAAGAAGATCTACTACTGTTAGAAGAAGCTGAATTGAAAAATGCATAGTACATTCTTAATTTTACTTACATACCGTAATTGTCTTATCGTTTCTTCAATAATATAGCTCAGCTTATTGATCTAAATAGAATATCTAATGTTGCTGGACGGTCCAGTAAATATAACAAGTTCCAGCAGTATTCAGTAGTAAAAATTTGTTATCTTACAAATTTTCAAGTATCTCTTGTGATAGGCGAAATTTTTTGGAGAGAGGTATTTCGTGGAACTGAAAAATCAATGCCATGAAAACTAATCTGTTATATATGTTGCGTCTATTCGTCATGTCTTAAAAATCATAAAATTTGAAAAAATGCATTTTTTCAGCATGGATAATCTCAAAATTTGTTTAAATTGTTTATTGCTCATTTACAGTTATTTGATCCTCTATGTGTTGCACCTATTCGATCTCAGTGAAGTGCGTCTTTTCATAAAAGCTTTTATTTTTGATATCACTTTATTTCTCATAAATCTAGAAAGTAAGAGGATTCATTTAATAGTGTAACTTCCTGATTTGGAGGTTTATTACTTATCTCCAAAATTTCTTGATTTTGCGATGTAATATTTTGGTGGACATTTTCCTTAACTCAGATGCCTTCTAATTTGGAACTTTTTGGATTGCGCAACTGTCCATCTTACAGTCTCGAAATTATCTGATATTACTCAACATTACTGATTCACTTCACACTTTTCATGTTGTATAAATAAATCATTTTGAAGGTTTTGTTTTATTCCCATGTTATTGTGAATGCGTTTCTCAATTTGCTTTGGAGCTCTGATAATCTAATCATTCCCTTAAATTACAAGAGTGCTTTATATTATAATTTTTGTCCAGTATACTGCTTACTGTAGCTTGCCCGACTTCTAGAAATTTGGACACTTTGGCCATCTATACAATGATCTAAATGAATAGAGAAAGACCCACTCGGACTTCTCTAATTCGTGTGTTTATTTTTTTTTTTCTTTGGTCATTGTTTTCAAACTTTCAAAGTCAATCATAATTACTCTTGAGTGGCTATGCTTTTCAGAAACGTTTATCTTCCTCGTGTGACATTAGTGTTTATCTTGTCTTCATCCATTTCAGAGTAGTGTGCCTTTATTACTCTTTGTCTCACTATCACAGTTTTCAAATTTGAAAATTGTAGGCATATCGCAAAAATTTTTCTTTTATTATTGTGTTGACTGTTCCCTTATTTGAAGTAAAGGAAAAATATTGTTCCTATGGTGAAAGTAATGAATAGCTTCACGATTATTTGCATAACCAATCCTTAACCATTATGTATTTAGTTACTTTTGAAAATTGCACAAGATATGAATTGTTATTGCATTAATTTTTATCTCTTGAAATATAGCTTAGAGATTCTCATGTCAAGGAAGTAATTGTGGGCTTAAAAGCGTTTAATGCATCACTAAATTACGAGATATTGCACTATAACCTCAGACAGCAGGATTCAAAGATCGTGTCAAAGAAATTGTGAATGGTAACCATGCGATTTAAAACTGGACTAAGATCGGTAATTAACACCTCCTTAGTTTCCTTAGCTGATATGTAATTTAGGTAAAAAAGTTCGAGCGTAAAAAACTTAATCTTTATGTTTCTATCACAAATATATGTGAGAAGTGAAGAAAAAAAACAATAAATTGAAAAGATTTTTCTGTAACTCGATATAAGATTAGCTTGGAAAAAAGATCGTACTAAATCAATGGCGTAACTATATTCAATTGAAGAAAAAAAGAAAACATGTTAAATTAGCCAGAAATAAATTATTTTTGTAATAAATGATTGTTTTGCTTGCTACATTTCAAAAATATCAGTTAAGATATCAGTTTTCTACAATACTATTTCTAGGTGAATCTATCTGAATTGGTAAACAGTTGCACTACATCACAGACAAAAATTTCTAACAATTATCAACAAAATGACATATGAGAAGTGCTCGACTGTACATAAATAATATTCGTATGTGTTAGTCATTTATTTCGTTAATAGTAATACAAATGAGAAAAAAAGTCTCACTAAACAGTACTCCCTGTCTCTCTCTCTCTCTCTCTCTCCCTCTCTCTCCCTGTCCCTCTTAGTAGTTTCAAACTCTGAAATGGTCACACTTTACTTTTCACAGCAATGAAATGATGACATTCGGACCGTAAAATGGCATGTGGGCCGTGATGTGCTGTTGAGAACAGAGATCACTGCTCGTTTTTTCGTCTTACGATTCAATACGATATGTATTGAATTTGTAAGGTAGCTGTATTAGTTACACGTGAATGGCGTGAGGACGTGTTCAGGATTAGACGTAAATCTTTATCAATGACACTACTAATAGATGTAAGAATACATGAATGGATGATAATTCGCATGGAGAGATATGGTTGCTTGCTTGCTTAATGTTGAATTTTGTTTATATCCAGTTTCATCATTATTTTTTGTTCCGTGTTTTTTTTAGTTGGACAAATTAAAATAATTGCACTGGATTGTCTTTTATCCATTTTTGTAACCAATATTTAACTTGTAATATGGAATTTTTTTCTTGACTAACGTTGTTTATGTTTGTATTAATTGGTGTATTTGAAGTTTATATTTTTTTAAGAAAATTTTTAAAGTTTTCTCGAATTTCCATCCAGTATTAGGCGAAATGAATGTATAGCATGTGAAAGACCATATGAAAACGAGCCTGAAAAAGCATGATTTTAAAGTTTTATTGGTTAGGAATCATCGCAGTTGTTTTTATGTTTCGGAATGCTTTAAAAAGAAAACAAAAATTTAGAAGAAAGAAAAATGAAAGCAGCTATTGATGTCAATCAAGGAATCAATGGTCAAAAAGGTGTTACTATAAAGAACTATAAGACCAATCCACGTCTCAGTAAGATTTTTCTTGCCTACTTGTGAGCTTCTCAGCTTTGCAGACTTGTGTTTTATTTCATTTTTGCAGCATATAAGACGGTGACTGGTGTTAATGGTCCATTGGTTATCCTGGGTGATGTGAAATTTCCTCAGTACGCCGAAATTGTACAATTGACACTCCCTGATGGAACGAAACGTTCCGGACAGGTTCTTGAAATCACTCGCAATAAAGCTGTTGTTCAGGTATATTTATTTTAGAATTGCATGGTTTTCAGAAATAAAAAACTGTTCATTTATTATCGACTAGTTAGTATTTTCTAGGCCATGTTTGTTCTTCACATACTTAACCGCTCATATTACAAGAGCTTGTTTGTATATTTTAGTAGCTTCGTTAAGGTGTTGAAATATATAAACAATGTTTGCTCAAAAAAGACGTTTTTTACTTATTTGTCCAAAAATTTGGAATTCATAAATATGTAAAAAGCCTCAGGTTGTCCGAAGACCCAAGTTTTGTCCATACCTTATTGGCTGAAAATCTTTCAAAAATATGTTAGAAATAGTCAGTCTTTATCATATGATTTTCCACATTTTGTTTATAGCAATTAGTGAATCTAATTCGTCTGTAAAAAACTTTTCTACGAATTAAGTTGTAAAGTTCATACTATTCTATTTGTGTCAAGTTATTCGGTCTCAGAAAAATGGTAGAGGTTAATACTTCGGAGACTCCATATGTATATATATAGGAGAGAGCGCGGAAAGGATTCTGTTAAACGATTTATAGAATGCACCAGTAAATCAGGCTACAGACGAATCAGTATTTAGGATTTTTCAGATCACTATATTAATCATTAATTAAATAATCAAATAGAGCAATGAAATTGATTTCAGGTTTTTGAAGGAACTGCAGGGATAGATGCCAAAAATACATCATGTGAATTCACCGGCGACATTCTGCGAACACCGGTTTCCGAAGATATGCTTGGTCGTGTATTAAATGGGTCCGGCAAACCAATTGATAAGGTAAATACCGTTTATGACACTGTTGTTGCTTCTCCCTGTCACTTATAGATGGAGCTATGAATCTTTCCTTTGCAACATCAAGATGAAAGCATTTATATGGAATTATTTCAGGGCCCACCGGTTTTGGCAGAGGATTTCCTCGATATCAACGGTCAGCCAATCAATCCAAGATGCAGGATATATCCAGAAGAGATGATTCAGACAGGAATTTCTGCAATCGATGTGATGAATTCCATTGCTCGCGGTCAGAAAATACCTATTTTTTCTGCTGCCGGTCTTCCACATAACGAAGTAGGTTATGTATGCTGTTTGGTTCATTCTTAATTTTGAAACCTAAGAAACATCGCATGTTGCTTTGATTATTAAAGCTTTTAAATAGTTTGATAGATCTTGTTTATTCCATTATTTAATAGTAGCTATATAATGTTCAATTTATCTCTTAACAATTTATAGATTGCCGCACAAATTGTACGCCAGGGTGGACTTGTTAAATTGCATGATAAACATTATGATGCAAAGGATGATAACTTTGCTATCGTTTTTGCGGCTATGGGTGTTAACATGGAAACCGCACGGTTTTTCAAGCAGGATTTCGAAGAGAATGGTTCCATGGAGAATGTTTGCCTGTTTTTGAATCTTGCTAATGATCCAACGTACTTTTTCCATTAAGCTTATTTAAGATTTTAAACTTAGTGTGGTCGTCTATTTTAAACGAATACGTAAATATAGATTTTTTTTATCGCGGTAAATATAGATTTGACATGCTATTGTATTTTGGCAAAGTGTACGGAATTGAACGATCTTTGCAGTCTTTGCAATTAGGGATAATATTTATGACTTAACAATTACCAGATGAATGCAATTCTAAATTAAACAAAGGGCATTTCTTTGAATCGTTCTTATCAATGCATTGCATACTGTTGGATTTTTTAGCATCGAACGTATTATTACGCCACGACTTGCATTGACCGTTGCCGAGTTTTTGGCTTATCAGTGTGAGAAACACGTACTGGTTGTTCTGACTGATATGTCTTCATATGCCGAAGCGCTTCGAGAAGTGCGATTGAATCTTATATTTTCTGAATTAAATTTTCGAAATCTCACGTGATTTTTAAGCAGTTGCGCTTGCATATAATGCATTTCTTCTTGTAGGTATCAGCAGCTCGTGAAGAAGTGCCTGGGCGGCGTGGTTTTCCAGGCTACATGTATACTGATTTGGCTGCTATATATGAACGTGCTGGTCGTGTAGAAGGACGCAATGGCTCGATTACTCAAATTCCTATCTTGTCAATGCCCAACGATGGTTTGTTGTGCTTTCTCTTAGAGTGGTACAATGATTCCAATTCAAGTTGGCTAATTTCTACATCAGTGAATATAACGCTACTTGTTGATTCTTGTGAAAATGCAATATCTGATTAACTTATTGCTGCAAGGCCATCTTTGAAAATTAGCTTAGGCAGTTTAACTTTTCAGACATAACACATCCAATACCTGACTTAACGGGTTATATTACCGAAGGACAAATCTACGTAGACCGTCAGTTACACAACCGTCAAATCTATCCACCGATCAATGTACTACCATCGCTGTCACGTCTGATGAAATCAGCCATAGGTGAAGGTATGACTCGTGAGGATCATTCGGATGTTTCCAATCAACTATACGCATGTTATGCAATCGGAAAAGATGTGCAAGCAATGAAAGCCGTTGTGGGTGAAGAAGCTTTGTCTTCAGATGATCTACTTTATCTCGAATTTTTGACGAAGTTCGAGAAGAATTTCATATCGCAGGGTTCGCTTATGTCTTTTCTGAAATGCATTTAATTATGTGGTCAGCTTTTAGTGGCACGAAAATGAATCAAAGTCGCAGCCTTCAAAGATTCTGATTGAAAATAATAGAACTTGATTCATGTATAATGGTGTCTGTATGTTTAGCAGGTCATGAACAATTAATTATGCTTGGAACAACTAAAACTGAAGTAAAACTCTAATTATGAAGAAGAAAGAATGAGATTTTAACACCTGGTTAGAGGTCTAGGCATTAATCAAGATCATAAAATAAGTGATACTTATCATTCTTGATTATGAAAGTTTTTTAGGTAATTATGAAAATCGAACAGTTTTCGAATCCTTAGATATCGGATGGCAGTTACTGCGAATATTTCCACGTGAAATGTTAAAACGTATCCCTGCATCAACATTAGACAAGTATTATCCAAGAGGAGGAGGTGCAAGGGATATCAAAGAGATGAAAGGGAAGGAAGGAAAATAAACGAACTCTTCCGCTAAGAATTAAAACATTATTTCGAAAACGCTTCCTCATAATCAGGACTGCAAAAATTTTTCTTTTTGCATTCGAGGATTTTTTATGTCAGTGTTTTTCATAGTTTCATTTCACTTCAATTCTTACTGTGGTTGTGATATTTAATTGTTTTGAATGGCTAAACAATAAGATCCATTCATACTACCGTGTGGGTTTGCTGTGGGTTCGCCATTCCATTTGAAAATTGCAAATCTGGGTTTCAATTGAAATTGGAAATGCAGTTTCACATGCAGTTCTAAACTGGACTGGAAAGTTTGCCTCAGCAATAATTTATTTCACTTTTCCCTGCAAATGTAAAAAATTTCATATGTGTGGTTGGCGATTTCTTTCTTGCCACATATCGTGAATTTTTGATTCTGTGTACTAGTATTTATAGTAAATAAATGTTTCTACAGATCAACTTAGAAATGTAAGTCGTGATTTTTTAGCTATTCAGTGTATTTATATTACGTTCCGTTGATTAATGCTATGATAATTAGGATATCTTTGGCTAGCAAAATTCATAGCAATAAATTGTTAAGCACGTTTGGTTGAAATGCATGTACCATGCTTCCATGAACTGATTAACCAAGTAACCATTTTTGTTTCCAGATTACAACCTATGGTTTTTAAACAGCAAATCACCAATCTCTAGGTATCGCTCTCTGTCCATTACTACCTTCTTTTCATTAATCAAAGGAACCAAATTTAGTGAGCGGGCATATGAGCTAGATTTGTGTTTTTTCTTATGTCATTCCTTAAATGAGATTTCACTATTTACTAGACATCTGAGATTCGACCATGTTGATGTGCTTCTTTTCTTTCGCATATTGCTAACTTGGAGTTACGATTTATTCATAGTATACTATGTTATATTTTAGAAGATAATATTCATTTACTGTGATATGTCAGTGGATTGTAGTCAATAAAATATGTAGTTTTTAGATGGTTTGCGTTTCGTGTCTCACTATGTGAATATTCACCTAATCCGTAGGACTTTTTTGAAAATCAAAATTAGGACACTCACTAGAAGTGACAGAAGTATCTTCATGATAAAATATAATGTTATTTAACAAATCTCTTTCGTAAGAGCACAGTATTTCTACAGTTATGTGTTTAATGTTTGTGATCTCCTTAATATAGGAACTTTTATTTGTTTAGCTTTAAGTGATTTATTTTGTAAAAATGTCTGTTGAGATAAGAATTACTATACTAATACAAATGTTTGGCCATAAATTCTTAATGACGCCTTCCTAATTAGTGGTCTGGAATAATTATACAAACGAAATTAGAGATTAGTATCAAAGAAGTTAAGACTTGAACCTAACGCCGACAGAATATAAAAATAAGAAATTCGATTTGATTTAAAAACATTCTGAATTTGTCACAAGGTCATCCAAATAAATCAAAGCACACTGATGCCTTTGATTAAATCTAGTGAAGATTGATTATGTCTGCTGTAACATTGTTGCTCGAAACGTGCACTGCTACAGATAATGACAGTTTTAAAAGTACAAACATACTATAGCAGATTTTCAACAAATTTATTTTTAATAGATTCGCTATTTCCGTACAATGAGCGATTTTTGCAAATCTACGTTGAAAAGCGCCACATTCGCTACTTTCCAATGAATCATAAAGTCTAGATTAGAAAAACCATTTTTACTACTTCCATCTAATGAAGCAAAATTTATAACAAGAAAACAAGATTTTTAAAATACATAACGGTTTACCACATACCTTGCTATGGTTCTTCAATTTAATGATTTCTTTTCGTGTTTTATATCTAAGCATTGATTTTTAAATTGCATGTTATTTCAAAAAAAAAAAAAAAAAAGAATCAAGATTCTCGTGTAAATATGATAAGTTTTTTTACTAAAAATAATATATCTACTTTAAATTTCTGTTTGGAATTGTAACCAACCAATAAATGTATCACCTAGTGCTCAATTATTTATAAATTCTTAGCTTGATTTTTTTTAATCTTTCAATCAATTCTAATTTCCTTTTAAAAAATTTTAATTTTAAATTCTGTCATTTTCCTATAACTTCAAAGTTTCGGAATTCACTCCCATTCTCACTTATTAACTTCCCTTCATATCACTACACTAGATTCAGTAAATCATAGATCAGATATGATGGAAATCATAAGATTACTCTGATAGCAAATCGAGATCAAATAAATCAAATCGATTGCAATAAGATCAAGCAGCTCGCAAGAACACCCGTTGTAATAGATGATGGAGGTCTTAAAACGAAATAATGCACGTAAATATTGGTATACGGTAATCGATTGGTAAGCATAACTGCTGTTGAGTTGGGGTAGGGATGGAGGTAGAATGTTTGGGGTAGTTACGTGGGTTTTACGTGGTGCGTGATTAGTTAATGAGTATGTTAACATGATTGTGTCAAGTTTATCCTTTCCTCCTCATTATCAATATTCGGTGGTTATTGCTACAATCTTCCTCACTTTACGTCTGTTGCCAAATATTTTCTTTTATCTTACCGAAATTAGTTATAATTTTTAACATAATTTCAAGAATATTATTTACATATTCCAAGTAGTATTGATTTAATGAATTTCCTCACGTGTTAGCAATATAAATCTTTTCTAGCATTAGCATTATGGAAGAAGAGAAAAAGGAACAATCAGAAGCAATAGTGGAAGAGACGGCAGAGATAGAAACGAAGGCTGAAGCGCCAGAAGGAGAGATAGAGAAGACAGATACGGAACAAACAGCAGAGACGACAACAAGAAATAAGGAAATAGATCCTAATACATCAAACTATATTAGACTTCGCGGTCTACCATTTTCAGCTAAAGAAGATGATGTTCGAGCATTTTTGGAAGGTTATGATCATTTCAAAAATATATATTTGCTTATTCTAAGTTGATTTATGAATTTAATGTGGTTATTTAATGAATTTGCCCAGAATATTTATTTTACATATTCATTTCAGGATTAAATTTTGGACATTTCTTAAGATCTTAACTTTTTAAATCATATTCTAAGACTTGCAAGCGTGCTGTATACATTTACGGCAGATTAGGACTAAAAAAATCTCCGTTATGCAGTCTGATTAAGAATCTTTATTTCATATGTTTTATGTTTATGGAGTATTCAGATATTTAGTTATCATTTCTTTTCGCAAAATAGTTTGTAAGAATTTGTGTAGTTTCCTGTAGCTGTAATATAAATATTTGGTTTTTAGGTTTGGAAGTAAAATCGGTGACATTTACATTAACATCAATGGGTCGAGCAAGCGGCGAGTGTTATGTTGAGTTAGTGGACAAAGTTGCGGCGGAGGAAGCAAAGCGCTTTGATAAGCAAGAAATGAACAATCGTTACATTGAAGGTCTCTTCCTACTTTTTCAATGTTTGGTGTTAGTTTTATGTTATGGCAGTAGCATCAGGAAGAGCATGAATTACCGTTTAATGGGAGGTGATAACGAAAGTGTAAGACATTTCAAATTTCGGACTTTTTTTAGTGTAGGTTTTTGAGCGTTGAAAATATGGCTCCATTCTTTATATTTGCATGATTGATGGCGCATTCAGACGAAAAACTAATTAAAAATGAAACTTGGATAAATAAGTTTGCTTTGTAGTAAATTTTTTGCTTTGTAGTATTCAACGTAACAGAAAGTGAAGTGGTTTGGATGACGCGACATAATGTGATTCGTAAAGGTGATCAAGACACACCTTATAATTTTGTTGTTAGGCTTCGGGGCATACCATTCAGTGCAACGAATAATGATGTGAAAGAATTTTTCAGCGGTACGTCGTTTTACAATATTTCATAAGTGTTGAAGGTATTTTTGATAGTTTTTTTTGACTGTAGGTTTCAGAGTTTCCCAAGATGGGATGTGTAGAATTTGTCGGGCCATAGTCGGCACACTTATACACGGGCAAATGGCCTTCTTTTTGTACTAATGGATTTGAGGAATTAGTGTCAGTGTAATTTCACAAGTTCTACTTTCTGGATCAGCTAGTGCAGTTTTCAAGATTTGAATGTTTTGCTTTAATGCGAATCGATCAGTAATTTTATATTTCTGGAAGGGAGGTGACTCCTAATTGCTCATGTATTTGGTGGTGTAAGTATGGGATATAGGATTGGAAGTGGCAGATGTTGTCATCGACAAGGAGCTGGGGGGTCGCCCATCTGGGGAGGCATTCGTACGGTTCGCCAGCAAACAGCATGCCGAGATGGCCCTGGAACGGAACAGAAACAACATGGGTTCGAGGTATGGGAAAATAAACATCAGATAAAATGCTACTTAACTCTTTTTACGAAATTATGTTTTAAACAAGCAAATGATTTACCGTTTGAATTACCCTGAAGACAAAAGTACTTTGGTTGCAATGATACTGTTGACAATCGAACGCTGCGTTTGAGAAGTTGTTAGCAGCTGTTGCAATTTTTTTAAGAGGAAATATCTGCCAGCACTGACGGGAAGACATTAAAGTGATTGAATATATAAGCCTTATTGCATATTATTTAGCGAAGAAAGTTGAATTACCCTGAAAAGAAGATTTAGTATCGCCCAACGAATTTTATCCCTGTCCATATGCTACCTAGCAGTGTTCTTTCATTAACGGTATCATAGTAACGACATGTATATTGCTGCTTCAAATATATTTTGAAACCTAAAAGTTTAAATTTTGAGAGATAGCATCTCTTGTGATCTCAGGAATTACTGAGAATTGAGAAATTTTAGGATAGTTGGCTGTCTGGGAGGTTTCCCATTAATAATTTATTAATGGAGACAGACAGTAGTCTGTTTAATTTTACAGGTTGTTTCAGAGAATTTCTTTGAAACGAATCTTTATGCTCATGTATTATCAAAGTCTTTTGATATGATATTTATTTGCAGATTGATCAGTAGCAATAAGTAGCAGTAAACTAACGATTGAAAAGTAAAATGATTGAATATGTCCCGAAAATTTTATCTAGTTTTTGTTTGATTTCTCTAGATATGTGGAAGTTTTTCGAAGTTCTGGTGATGAATTGGAGAAATCAAGGGAAGGTCATGTTGTACCACCAACGTCTTTGAGAAGTCTTGCTGTTGAACGCAGTTTTCCAACACCGCGCACCGAACCTATACCTTTACGCTTTGCTGCAGCGAAGCTTGGTGGTGTACGTCCATATCGGTAAGAAAATTTTATAGAATAAATTCTAGAAAACGGAAAATGAAAATTTTATCAGTAAGGAAAAGCAAGAAGTATTTTGTGTGTTATATTTCCATCCTGTGTTAATTTCTGGAACTTGCAATGGCTTGTATCGATATTTTGCGCATGCATTTTCAATAAAATGAGTTTTCAGTTTTCATTTCCAATTCATGAATTCATTACAGAAGGGAGGAGTATGGTGGTCCCTTGAGAAATGTTAGTATGGGTCGCCCTCGTGCTGGTCCTTACGACGCACCATATAGTCGTTACGCGCGTTTTCAGGATTACGGTTATGAAGATGATTTTGATTGCGATGATCCAGCTAAGATTTACATGAGGGGTCAGTTTATTAACAATACAGCTTTCAATAAATTCACGTCCTTTTTTTAAATCATACTTCTCTTTAGATTAACAATAATTCAATTGTATTCAATCTGATTGCTTGTTTAAGGTCTTCCATATAGTGCAAATGCGCTTGATATCGAAGATTTCTTCAAACCATTGAATTGTGTCGAAATTCAGCTGGGTTTCAATGAAGATCGTCGACCGTCTGGTGATGCATGTGTGATTTTTGGGACGGTAGGTGAAGCGCGGGATGCAATGTCCAGAAACAAACAGTGTATTGGTAATCGGTAAGAACATTATGAATTATGGATTTTTGTGCAGGTGAATGCGTGCATTTGTCTGGGTAAATTGTTAGGTATTAGAGGTGTAAAGTATTGATCAGATTCGCTTAGTAAATTATCTCAGATGTTTATTACTTTGGACAGTTGTTCTCTCCTGCAAAAGCACTGTAATGAGAATAGATCATGTTGATATAAAATGTAAAAAATTTTTCATCAAATTAATGTACTGGGTTCTATTCCGAGATTCCGATTTTTATTTTTTTTATTGTAACCTGCTCAACTGTCCTGCTTGTATTTTCCATTGATGAATAGATTGTGTTTTTATGAATTGTAGAAGTTGAAATCTAAATAAACAGTTTCATTCTTCTACAGATATATTGAACTGTTTACTGCCGCTGATGTGCCAATTACGCAAAAATATGTCATTTACCGAAGAATTGGTGGTACAGGTGACTATCCAGCAGCAGTGAGTGGAGGAGGTTGTCGTGGTCCAACAGCATTAAATCGTGTTAATTGTGGTGGATATGATGAATGGGCTGATAATGATGGAAATGGACGCTATTCAAGTGTTCAGAACAAGCCAGTTTCACTGAATCGTGTTGGATATACGACAAGTGATCCTGCTGATATTGGTGGGACTGAGAGTTGGTCGGATGCTGATTCGGGTAGAAGCTGTAAGTTATTTAAAAATTTCAAATCTTGTGTTTTAATGACTAAATCAGTGTTAGTAAATTTTTACTGGACTCGAAAATTTCATCACTAGCTTTATTTCAATATTGTAGGATGAAAATTCAAATAAAGTTGCTAATCTGTTTTCCTCTGTTTCAGCAGAAAGTATTTGACTTCATTATTTTTGCACAGAACATTTGCTTTTATTGGTCAGTATCCGGCTAAGAAAATTCTTTATATGATATTTTATTCCTGTTTCAGATACGACAGGATATAACAATGCTTCGGCAGGATACAATGCGAGCTATGCTACGGGAGGGCAGCAGGTTTGTTTGTTTGATTCTAGTCTGCATTATCGATTCAGTACTTTTATTAATTATAGCAGATCTGCCATCATACTTCTTATTCTTTAAATTTTTTTTTTCCCAAAATACTAACAAATTTTTAATATTTTTATGTTCGTTTGCAAACTGAGCATGTTTCAGAAGATTGCTAGCGTTATAGCGATCATTATTAAACATTTGAAAACTACTGACTTTTGCATTTTCAGTACTATAACGATGAATATGAAGGAAAACAATCTTCATATGGTTATCAGTGGGGCAGTGCTGGTGGTTCGGTGAAAACCAGCTGGTAAAAGCTTCAGGAATAGTTGATTCCCAGAATCGCAGCGCCAGTGTTGAAATATCTCGTCAGTAAAGCTTTTTCCGGTAAAACTAATATACCAAGTTTGCTGACCATTTGGTTCATTTGATTTTTATTTACCTGTTTAAATAATTTTCTTTATACTTTCTTTCGCGAAGGAAACGAAAAATGGTTGTAAACTCTTTTTTGTTTTTTTTCATCTTCATCAAAACAGTTTTATTTCTTTTGTGTTTAATTATTAACTTAATGAAATTCAAGTTCCAATTAATAACAGCTTTTCCTTTTTCATGTATGGACAGTGTTGTTCTCACAATATATTTTTCGCATCTTCATTACTTGCTTTCTTTTGTGTTTCAAGATTTCTATCAATTGCTAAGCTGAAATAGCGCTATTGCGTAATTTTCAAATACATTTCCAGAATTTTTTTTTAAAGATTTAGAATTAAGTTTTC